TGGTTGAAGAACATTTCAAAATCACCTGAATTTTAAATGATTGGAACATTTCGATATGACTCTCATCCTGAATGATGGAAACATTTTTCAGGAACATTCCAGGAATATTTCAAAATCTTTGTACCATTTCTGAAACATTTCAAGACAACTTCAACTGATTTATTCCGAAACATTCCAAAATTTCTTAGATAATTAATAAATGAAACGTTTCAAAATTACTTCAATTGTGAATAATTGAAACATATCATTTTCTACTTATTCAGGAATGTTCCAATGCGTTCGGAATATGTTTGGAACATTTCAAGGTTCATCAAACTATAGAAATTTTGAAATATACTCTTATTGCGAATTACTGCAATATCAAAAGACAACTGAAATTGGTTGATTATGGAACATTTCAAAATCACCTGAATTTCAAATGGTTGGAACATTTCGATATTACTCTCATTCTGAATAATGGAAACATTCATCAGGAACATTCCAGGAATATTTCAATATCATTGCAACATTTCTGGAACATTTCAAGACAACTTTAATTGATATATTCCGAAACATTCCAAAATTACTTGAATGATTAATTAATGAAACGTTTCAAAATCACTTCAATTGAAACATATCATTCAATACTGATTCAGGAATGTTCCAAAATGCGTTAGGAATATGTTTGAAAAATTCAAAGGCTCTTCAAATTATTGACATTTTGACACATTTATTAGGAATTACTTACCTACTACAATATTCCAAGACATGCAACTTGAATTGGTTAATTTAAGAATATTTCAAAATAACCCGAATTTTAATAAATTAATTAGACTATTTTGACCAAGCATTTTATCATATTATGATGCAATTCAGCATTTCCCCTCTACAGCCGCCGCTTTCGTGGCTTCGGTAATCGATCGCGGGTTCCCGTCTTCGGCTCTAAGCGTTCGCGCATGCGCATTCAGTTTCCTTCTCCTTGGTGAAAGGCTTCGCAGTTTTCGCTTTCCGATTCCGACTGTTGTCTCAAGCCAAGCAAAGCAAAAGACATCTAATATCTTATAATAGTGATGAAATATAATTATTTCACTCAATTCAAACACATTTTTGAGTGTTTACTATTTAATCGTACCGGTAGACCTCTCAGGTGATTTAGGCCATGTGAAGTAACATCAAAACTTGCAACCAAACAAACAACACAAGCGACTCCATTTTTTTTAACATCACCTGGTGTGGCTGGACTTTTGAAATGTATTCAACGGCTTCATGGACAAGGCCGAGGTACGTATAAATATAGAAAAACCATAATTCCAGATGAAATATCAAATATTATTAGATATCATGATGGGTATATTCATAATGATACTTTTTGTTCTAGGATGGAGTGTGAAAATGTCATCATGACTTAGAAGCTGCAGAAGAATAGTGCTTTCAATTGCGATGTAACCGAAGAAAAATATTGAGGCACTCAACATGTGAATAACGATGTTAAATTACTTGATATATATGTACATACCTAATACGTCGTGATTATGTGAAATATCTGATGATACTTTTTTAACTGCTTTTTTCACATATCATTATATAAGCAATATAATCCATTTTTTTATGTCTATTATCTTTCATTTCACCAGCTATATGAATATATTCCAGCGATATTGGTAGGTATTTTTCATTCTGAAACATTCAATGGGAATGTTTCATAAACAGTAATATTGTTGAATGAAAAACATCCATGAAATGTTTCATGAAACATTCCCGAAAGTTCTACAATGAATGTTCCCAGGATGTTTCTATATATATGTATTTGAAACATTATTTATGAAACATCTCTGGTGGCGAAAATTTATCGTTTCAAAAATATTCATGGAATGTACCAAGAAACATTCCTCAAGATCTAATCATATTGGGAATGTTTCCAGAATGTTTCAAGCATTTGTATTCGAAACATCATTCGTGAAACAGTTTTGAGGGCAAATATCTTTGGTTTCACGAATATTTCTGAAACATTTCATGTAATATAACGAAAGAAATATTTATGAAATATTGCATGGAACATTCCTACAGGATATGATCATGGTAGAAATGTTTCCAAAATGTTTCAATTTGCGTATCCGACACATTATTTAGGAACATTACCATGAAACATTCCTGAGGGCGGACATCTCTAGTTTCTGGAATGTTTCTGGAACATGTAGGCAACTTTGAATGCAATGTTTCATGCATCAATAGTACGTTTCTGAAACATTTCAGAAACAGAAAAATGTTTACTGGGATAATTTATAACTATTTTATTACTAACTTATAACTATGATCAAGAATTTTTTACTCATCATTTCAAGGAAAAAAACGACGATTTGTATATCTCGATCTCAACCTAGCAGAACCAAAACTCAAATCATATGTTTTTTGAAATTTTGTTGTATCATCGATAAGTTACTAATTTATTACTAATTTATTACCACATTTGCAAATTTCTAACACTTCATTCAACAGGGAAAACCAACGGCTCTGCAAGCTTGCTGTCAACCTAGCACAGCCATAGCTAAACAATTATTATTTTGAAAACTTCGAATATACCATAATTTATTACTATTTTATTACTTACTTATAACTATAATCACGAATTTTTTACTCATCATTTCAAGGAAAAAAAGACGATTTGTCTATCTCGATCTCAACCTAGCAGAACCAAAACTCAAATCACATTTTTTTTTAATTCTGTTGTATCATCGATATGTTACTAATTTATTACTAATTTATAACTTCATTCGCAAATTTCTAACACTTCATTCAACTGGGAAAACCAACGGCTCTGCTAGCTTGCTGTAAACCTAGCAGAGCCATAGCTAAACAATTATTATTTTGAAAACTTCAAATATACCATAATTTATTACTATTTTATCACTAACTTATAACTATAATCACGAATTTTTTTACTAATCATTTCATGAAAAAAAAAACGCCGATTCTCGTCTATCTCGATCTCAACCTAGCAGAACCAAAACTCAAATCGAATAATTTTTTTTCAAATTCTATTGAATTATCAATAAGTTACTAATTTATTACTAATTCATTACCACATTCGCAAAATTCTAACACTTCATTCAATAGGCAAAATCAACGGCTCTGCTTCCTTTTATGTCATCCTAGCAGAACCATAGCTAAAAATTCATCATTTTGAAAACTTCTGATATACCATAGTTTCTCACCATTTTATTACTAACTTATAATTTTACTATAATCACGAATTTTTTACTAATCATTTCAAGGGGAAAAAACGCCGATTTGTCTATCTCGATATCAACCTAACAGAACCAAAACTCAAATCACATGTTTTTTGAAACTGTTGAATCATCAATAAGTTACTAATTCATTTATTTTTATTCATTTATTGTCACATTCGCGAATTTCTAACAATTCATACAATAGGCAAAATCGACGGTTCTGCTAACTTTATATCAACTCTAACAGAACCATAGCTGAAAAATTTCTATTTCGAAAACTTCAAATACACCAAATTTTATAACTATTCTATTACTAATTTACGACCGAAATCACGAATTTTTTACTCATTATTTCAAGGAAAAAACGCCTATTTGTCTATCTTGATCTCAACCTAGCAGCACCGAAACTCAAATCACAATCATGTTTTTTGAAATTCTATTGAATTATCAATAAGTTACTAATTTATTACCACAATCAGTAATAAATTAGTAACTTATTGATGATACAACAGAATTTCAAAAAACATGTGATTTGAGTTTTGGTTTTGCTAGGTTGAGTTCGAGATAGACAAATCGTCGTTTTTTGCTTGAAATGATGAGTAAACAATTCGTGATTATAGTTATAAATTAGTAATAAAATAGTAATAAATTATGGTATATTTGAAGTTTTCAAAATAATAATTGTTTAGCTATGGCTCTGCTAGGTTGACAGCAAGCTAGCAGAGCCGTTGGTTTTCCCAGTTGAATGAAGTGTTAGAAATTTGCGAATGAGGTAATAAATTAGTAATAAATTAGTTACTTATCGATGATACAACAGAATTTCAAAAAACATGTTATTTGAGTTTTGGTTCTGCTAGGTTGAGATCGAGATAGACAAATCGTCGTTTTTTTCCTTGAAATGATGGGTAAAAAATTCGTGATTATAGTTATGAGCTAGTAATAAAATAGTTATAAATTATGATATACTTATAATTTTCAAAATATCAAATTTTCAGCTATGGTTCTGCTAGGTTGACATAAAGCTAGCAGAGCCGTTGGTTTATTCTGTTTAGTGAAGAGTAATAAATTTGCGAATATGATAATAAATTAGTACTAAATTAGTAACAAATTATAGTACTATTGCAAATCCGAAATATTGAAGTGGTTCTGCTAAGTTTATTGGGGTAGAATGATTTAACATATCCTTATCTCAATTTTCACTATCGATTGGTATTTAATTGAAATAGATACAGCGTGGTCAAAAATATCAATTCTGAACCACACAGTATTTGTTTTAACCAAATATCTTTTTTCTACACAAAAAATTCTTGAACTTGGGAAATCTCGATTTTTCACCCCCTTTATCTGAGTAATTATTACTGCTAGACCCCAAGTTGATGGGTTGTTGAAATCAGCTCATCCGGGAGAAATAATTTCAAATGGTAACCTATGTTGACATGCAACGTCCTAAAGAAAAAGAATTTCAACGAAATGAGTGGTTAGCCTTCTAAAGACCGAGGCGTTACTGGTGGCCCACCCTGTATATATCCATTTTTTATGTTCATAATTATATCTGAGAATTTCCTTCTCAATTGATATTTCTCTTTGAAAAATATTGTTTTCCGAAACCTGTGCGTCAATAAAGTTCCTGAAATACAGGCGACGTCTCTTCTAGTTATACAAAACATTTTGGCATCGTGAAAAAAGTATCTAAAATAAAATTGGTTTCAATACATACCTATGACACATAGAACATAAGTATTTACATTTCATGGAAAATAACGAACGAATGTCTTCTGAAAGTTTTATTTGCAATACAAGATTTTGAACGAAGTCGTAGTTCGTAAGTACGTTTTTTTTTTAATTTCATCTATATACACAGGTACCATATTGGTAAAAAAAACAATTAAAAAAATAAAACTTGCTAAGTCTATAGGAATCTATAATTAGTTGTCAACGTTACTAATAAGTTAATCCTGCAAATTAAATAAATAAAAACTAACAACTAATGGCAAACAGTTTTTAGTCTCGTTGAAAATAGTGATAACAATAAAACGTATAGGGAATTTCATTGAAATTAACTGGTGAAGTGTTTCTGCACTCAATGTAATAGTATATGTTTCCTTCTTACTCGCATGTGTTAAACAATAAAGGTGAACATACAGTTAGTGAAGAAACACCCCACCAGTTCCTGCCAATGGAATTTGCTATTTAATATACAGGGTGTTTCATAATTGAATGCTGATCCTAAAGGGCGATGATCCTTGGATGATTTTAAGGATAAAAGTTCATATCAACATATGTCCTGGACCTCTTAGTTTTTGAGCTACAGGGTGTTGAAATCAGAAGCGTACAGCGTTTTTTTAAACAAAACGTTCAATATCAGGCGAGATATCAGGTCTACGAGGACATCACTGGTGAAAGTAAAAGTTTGATATTCGTGCCAAAACAAAATGTGTTTCCACTTATAGTGGGTGTCTACTGAATTACCAAGAACAATATCCAAGAACTGAAGGAACAAAATTCTTTGGTTTTTATTTTTTTACGCGAAAACGGTACGTTGTATGAAAGTAAGTCTAGGAACCAAATTTCCTTCAAAATGAATAAGAATCGAAAAAAAATCTGGTTCTCAGAAAAATCAGTGGCGTACAATTTTTTTCTTCAAAAATTGTCTGTTCAAACCCCGTACGGACGCCACTGGTGAGAATTTTCAAATATCTTTCACGTAAAAAAATGCTCCTTAATAATGAAAAGGTGTATACAAAATATCATAACAATATCTAAGAGTGATAAAAAATTATGATGAAAAACTCATTTTCTTCTTGAAATTTCATCACCCTGTAGCTCAATAACTTTTCTCTTTGAAATCATCCGAGGATTATCGCCCTTAAGGATCAGCATTCAATTATGAAACACCCTGTATATGAATGAAAAACCTTATATATAGTTGGTCCATTGTCAGCTAAATGCGGAAAAATCTAGTGAGCGGCATACATATACATACAGGGTGGTCCGGTTTGTAATTCAAAAAATTCAACAGTCTGTTGTAAACTACTCGTTGAAATAAAGAAAAAAGTTCATATAAATATATACTTTTAAACGCATTTTCTATGAAAAGTTTGATGAAAAGTTCGAAAGGGTTTGAGATAAATCAACAAAATTTCTCACAGATATACTGAACTTTTTACGCTCTAAGATGAAATGAAAATTATTCCATTGAGTGATACAGTGGCTGCTGAATCTGGGGGTGGTGGAGGAAAAAAATCACCCCAACTTCATGTATTCAATTTTTCATTTTTGAGTACAAAATGTGAAAAGACAGATTTCTGCATATAATAGTTCTGTTGTATTTTTTCAATGCGTTACAACGTTATCGAATTTAACCAGATTAAGGATATGAGAAATCTAAGGGAATGAAAAATAATAACTGGACATACAGAATGAAATTTCAGTTAACTTCATGGAATAATTTTCATTTCAACTTATAGAGCGTAAAAAGTTCTGGATCTGTGAGAAATTTTGTTGATTTATCTCAGACCATTTCGAACCTTTCATCAAAAAACAATATTCAGGCTTCATTCAAGAAAGTATATGTTTATATAATTCTTTTTTATTATTTCAACGAGTACAACTAACTCACTGTTGAACTTTTTGTATTACAAACCGGACAATCCTGAATACTTGTTTCTACAAATTACTAGCAAAGCGTACTAACACTGAGCAAGTACAAGTGGCACTGGTTTGTTTTTTCCATAAAGTGCTGTTCCAGCGCAGAGCAGTCACTTATATTATATACAGGGTGTAAATTTGAAAACTTCCAATGCGAATATCTCGCGAAAGAAAAAAGTTAGAAAAAAGCCGTTTGGCAAAAATGCTAAAGAGTTAAGGGAGACTAGAACCACCATATTTCGGTCAAGGGATGTGTCACCCCGTCGGCGCGACACACTCCAACTTTGAAATGTCAAATGGTACTACCTTATTTGTGATGCCTCAAATGAACAGTCTCAGTCAGTAGTATTCACCTGTACAAGACTTTTTTTCCACCCACTACAGGGTGTACGAAAAATATAAAGTCGAATAAAATAAAATGAATTGTGTTTAAGGATATTTTATTTGATCAGATGTTCAAAATGCATTCCATTCTGTTGTAAGCAATAGTATAATCGAGTTTCAAATGCCATTCTAACATTTTGGAACACATCTCACGGAATATATCGGCATTCTGCATTTTATTTTATTCGACTTTATGTTTTCCGTTCACCCTGTAGTGGGTGGAAAATAAATCTTGTACAGGTGAATACTACTGACTGAGACCGTTCATTTGAGGTATCACAAAAGAGGTAGTCCCATTTGAAATTTCAAAGATGGAGTGTGTCGCGCCGACGGGGTGACTCATCCCTTTACTGAAGTATGGTGGTTGTAGTTCCCCCTAACTCTGTAGCATTTGTGCCAAACGGCGTTTTCCTAACTGTTTTATTCAGCGAGATATTCGCATTGAATGTTTTCAAGTTTAGACCCTCGAATTAATGTTTTTCGTACACCCTGTAGTGGATGGAAAAAAAGTCTTGTACAGGTGAATACTACTGACTGAGACCGTTCATTTGAGGTATCACAAAAGAGCCATTTGACATTTCAAAGTTGGGGTGTGTTGCGCTGACAGGGTGACTCATCCCTTCACTGAAATATGGTGGTTCTAGTTCTTCTTAACTCTTTAGCATTTTTGCCAAGCGGCGTTTTTCTAAATTTTTTATTTCGCGAGATATTCGAATTGAAAGTTTTCAAATTTACACCCTGTATATTTGGCAAATGCTCTTTCACTACCGAAGTATTTCAATTGATTCATGATGAATTCAAGGATCAACTTCGATGAGATAGGACATCTTCGTAATCCAAATGATGATTCGAGATTATGAGAATCGCACCGCCGTCCAAACACGGTTCTGAAAATTCGAACTCTGAGCGAGCAGCAGCAAATTTGCAAGCCAGTGGAAAGCATGTCTAGACATCGGTTCACTTTTGAAATTTCCAGTGGACCACGCTACGACCACGCAGAACGCGCTCAGTTCGGAAAAAGTTCCAACCAGTGAAACGTTATACAGGGTGTTCCAAAAAAACCTGACTTCCTTGCTAGGGTAGGTAGAACACTGCAAAATAAGTTGGGTTTACTCAGTAAAAAAAATTCGTAACGGCATCCGTTATCAAGAAACAAGGTGTTGAAAAAACGTTTTTTTTATACATTTTTCAAGATTATGTCGAAACTACTGGCAACATTGTGATGAAATTTTGTATACATGTCTCTTGGAATCTGACACATCGCATACATTTGTTTTCATATCTGACTCTCATAGAGGGCGCTAGTTACACGGTTCGTACCGAGTAGTTTTGAACATTACTTTTTTGAGATTGGATTTTTCAATCCAAATTTGATGTCAACTTGAACATCATTCAATTTCACACCAAAAAGGTACTCTTGGTGAAACTCGATACTGTGTTCCGTTTTCGAAATATTTCGATTTGAAAATGATGAAGTGATAACTGTTGCAGGTATAAAGCTATGTATTAGAGTGAGTATTATGAAAAATTATCACCTATTTATTGAGAATAGAAAACAACAATACATTTCTGATGCTTAACTTATTGATGTAACAATGAATCACAAGAATAACATTGAAATAGATTTGACTAAGAACATGGATTACACAGTTTTGTTGTATCTTGAGCAGAAAGTCTATGCTACATAGGTAATTTCACGTCAAGAGTTGTGAAACATAATTGTACATCACTCAAATAAACTAACAGCTGATCCTCAACTGTTCAGAAGAATAAAACATCCTCAAGAAAAGAATATAGGATCGTGTGTTCGTCGAAACGTAGGACGTTTTGAACACTTGCTCTAAGTGATTCAATATTTCATGTTTCTAGTCAAAATTCTCTTAATGTTTTACTTATTATTCTTTGTTCCATCAATAACTTGATCACAACAATACTTCTATTGTTTTTGAATCTGAATAAATAGGTGATTGAACTCAATAAAATTCATTTTATACCAGCATCAGCTATTACTCCATTATTTTCAAATCGAAATATTCCGAAAACGGAACATAGTATCGAGTTTCACTAGCAGTACCTCTTTGGTGTAAAATTGAATGATGTTCAAGTTCATATCATATTTGGATTGAAAAAGCTAACCTCAAAAAAGTTATGTTCTAAACTACTCGGTACGAACCGTTTAACTAGCGCCCTCTATGAGTGTCAGATATGAAAACAAATTCATGAGATGTGTCAGCTTCCAAAACACATCCATATAAAATTTCATTACAATGTTGCCAGTAGTTTCAACATAATCTTGAAAAATGTGTAAAAAAATATTTTTTCAACGCCTTGTATCTTGAAAACGGATGTACTCACGACATTTTTCCACTGAGCAAACCCAACTTATTTTGCGATGTTCTACCTCTCCTAGCAAGGTGGTTAGGTTTTTTTGAAACACCCTATATATACAGGGTATGTCAGGATGAGCTTACACAGTCAAGAGAAATTAACAAAAATATACATGCTTATATTTCAGAAAATGCTTTCTTCATTTAAAATAATGCAGTGTTGCCGCTTCTATCGAAAAGTAGCAACAACTTTGTTATTTCAAATAGAATACCCTGTATTTCATTGCAGTTTTAGATTCTCCCTGAAGATCAAACATCAAATTTGGGGTTTATCGGAAATGATTACAGAGATATAGAGTGTTCAAAATGTTTCAACTTAAGGATTTGTTTGTCTCGAAACTATTCATTATCGGCTCACATGTCCCTATCTCAACTTTCGATTTACTATTTACTGATATTTAATCAGAACAAATATATGGTGATCAGAATTCTGAATCTTGAACCACCCAGTATCTGTTCCGATTGAATATCAGTAGATAGTGAATAGTTTCGACACAAAAGAAACTAAAGTTGACAAAATCCCGATTTTGAACACCCTATATCTCTGTAATCATTTTCGATAGACCACAAGTCGGATATAGCGATAAAATCAGCTCTTCAGGAAGAATCTGAAAATACAATAAAATACAGGGTGATCCATTTGAAATATCAATGTTGCTACTATTTTCTAGTAGAAGCGGCAAAACTCCATTGTCGAAAATATTTGTAATGAAGAGAGCGTATTCTAAAATATAAGCATATGCACATTTTCATGGATTCCTCCTGACTGATATATGTTTTATTCAAGACAGTTACATTGACTGAATTGAAACAAATCACAAATCATCAGTTGGTACTATGGTACTAATTCAAAATGGTGTATCAGGAAAAGGGTTGAATAAGGATCATGACAGAATAGGCAAAAGTTTGGTGTAGCGCTAACTAGATCAATCATTTAGCAAGCAATGGTTTGTTTGTTCTTTGATGGCTCTTCTTTATTTCGAATGTTTTGAGAAGTTTTCCGATGATTTGCTGTCATTTATAAGTGAGTTCAATTGAACAACCAGCACAAGATATACCCCTAAATAATGAATATTCTCTGTTTCCTCACATAGGAAAGGTGCTATATCGGAAAACTCTCAAATCAGTATTACGATATTTAAAATTGCGAATATCAATATATACAATTTTCTATTTACAATGAATTTTTTACATGTTTTGATAGTATCGAATCAACGTTCTTGTAGTTGGTACAATCCATTTTGAACCCTTGTTTCTGTGGATAAAATATGTAGTCTGACAAATATAAAATAACCATTTGAACTTGAAAGGAAGGAATAGTTGCATAATGTATTTGGATAGACTATATTGAATATTACAGGTGCCTTTATCATGGCAACATGTGTTCATCAGATGAGTAATGTCTCGATCATTATTGATAACATGTGTTACATATGCAACTAACCCTGCTTACATTTTTATGGAACTAGATTCAGAAACCAGTAGACGATCAACTTGTTTTGGTAATCTTTCAGTTAGATGATGGTGTCAATTTTCCTGTGAACAGTAATCCTGATATCGGAATTATGCGCTAACAGTAGTTTTAGAGATATTGGTTTTAATACAGTTTCGTCGTGCAGTATTATTGTAGGTATAGTGGTCAAACTGTCGAGCAAGTCTTTCTTATACAATTTATAGGCATGTCAGTATGGTGTTCGATTCTTGAGCTAGATATTCGACACTAATCTCTTGTCACGTTATCACTGGTACAGCAGCAAATTGAAAAAAACTACTATCAAGAGGGGTTGAATGATAATGTATCAAAAAGTTATTGAAAAAGTTGGTTGAAAATTATTTTTTTTGTCAACCTCTACAAAAAAAATCAAATTTTGCGTTCAAATTTCCAAACGAAAAACAGACTTTTCCCGAAGGCAAGTACTTTTCGTCCGCAGACACAAACTTTTCGTCCGCTGCAGGGTTGCCATCAGTTCTACATCTATGGTTCTACTGAATTTTCTGTAGATCTCCTGCTTTGCTTATTGATCTACTAATTTACTGCAACATTTCATAATCTACTGACACTAATTTATTATCAAAATTACCTATATTATTATTAATCTTCAGTTAATCACATTCACTTATAATTTGTATGATATTTCGGCACGCTCTGTGTAAATTAATATTACAAAATAAGTGATAAATATACAGAATGTATCTAAATAACACTGACAAAATTCAAGGAGTGATTTCTTGTGATATTTTAGGAAATAAAGTTCATATAAACATGTGTCCTAACTTCCTTCGTTTTCGAGATACAGGTTATCAATATTTCCATGAAAAATCTTTCTTCTATTCATTTCTCAATTGTCTTTTAATCAATTTCAATAAAACGTTGTGGTTTTGTTAATAGTAATATGTAGCTTATTCTAGTGCAATTAGATTCGAAATAATATTTCCAGTGGCGTAACAGTGGGTGAATTTATCGATATCCATGGTGAATGTCATTGTACACCACCGGTTTTTCTGAGTTTCATATTTTTTTTCTGTGACGGGAAAAAAGTTTGGCATTTCATCTCGTTGGCAGGTTATAAAATGTAACTTTTCATAAATTACTTTCTTCCTTGATATATGTCACATATATATATACACTGTTGATGGCTTTTGTTGTGCTATAGTTCCGAAAAATGAGTCAATAATACCGTCTCCGAGAAAGAACTCCTTTTATCTTCCATTCGACTTCGCGGTTACGTATATTACTAAACAACCACTAAATTCGCAATTTTTTTTAATGAGATCACAGAATTAGACTGACAGAAGTGACATCAGATATTTGATTACTTCAAAAGAATGATAAAAATGCCTACAACGCAGGTGTCCCTATACTGTTAAAAACTTAAAATTTCACGTCGATAATTTTCAGATTTCAAAATAATGTAATATCTTCTCAATATTGATTCGTCCTTTTTTCTGTCACAAAAAAAAATAGTGTATTATGCACGGGAAAAATATTAGATTTTAGCTCACGGTTTTTTGTCTCCCTCCGCTACGCGTCGGGAGGCAACACAACCTGGAGCTAAAATCTACTACTTTTTTCCCTTGCATAATAAATAACTATTATTGGATTGAACTATTGCAATAACAACTTTTTATCCTCTCTGTGATTTTTGTATCTAGCTTAGTGTTTGAGGAAACAATAAAAATTCGATTTGACTCCAAATTTTACTGTTGGTGTTTTCAAGACTTTCATTGAGATTACGCAATAACCCCAATCACAATCATTTTGAAATTTTAGGGCTTTCTCAGTCTCCATCCATACTGAATTTTGGCACCATGAAAGCTCATGCATGGGGAGGTTATACATAAAAACAATTAACACTTCCAACTTCAACATCCTGTATCTCAAAAACGGAGCAAGTTAGGACACATGTTTCTATGAACTCCATTTGCTAGGATGTCACAAGGGAACACCCCTCGAATTTTTTCGGTGTTATTCAGATACACCCTGTTAACATATAGGTGCTAATGATAATATATGTATGAACCAAAAATATTATCCTTTCTTGGAATTCGTATAGCATAAAATGGATCTTGACCAGATCTATTGAAATCTACTGAATTATTATTATTTACAGATGGAATGAAAATCGAACTGGCAACCCTGGTCCGCGCGGAGAGTGAGTTGACTGACAACAACTGTCATTTGCTGTTGTCAAATTAATATTCACGAAATCCGATAGATTTCACGTGTGAATAGGACCATGATGTAAATATAGGTGTTTGAGGTCGACGAAAAAGTGTAATATGCACCTCGCCTTGACTATCAATTTGCAGACCCGACTAGCATTTATTCGAGAAAATGGAAAATGTTTTTTTTTTCGAATATTTTTCGATATCGTTACAATTTTCAATTTATTCTCACCTAAATACACTCAGTTCCAAAAAAAGTGACGCACTTGATATATCTTCTTTAAAAAAAAATAGTAGGCCGATTTTTTTCCATTTGTTGGTAGGTAATGCATTTGTCTTAAAAAATGATTTATTCTTACTTTTCGACCCACCCTGTGTATTAATTGAATGATAATATGCAAAATGCTTACACCCTATACGAAAGAGGCTTCTTTCGCGAGCATTTTGTTCTTTTATTCATTGATTTATCTCTAAAATTTTCCGAATTACAGCTTTTTTGCTGATACCTTACGCTTATCCCATAAATTAAATTTATTGAAGGATCAGAGTACTCAAAATTGATTGGGTTGTACTCTGGTAGGATCACATTGTCTTTAAAAAAACGAATGCCGTTGCCATAGCAACTAATTTGTTGCATGTCTCCATATTTGACCATTCGTCGTTGTGTCATTAATTAAATGTCTTGTTTCATTGACTAAAATTACATAAAATGCCTCAAATAAATCAGCAAGATTAGTTGCGTTAGTAAACGATGGGCGTAGTAAACGTTACGCCGCTCGTGCAGTGGGAGTTCATGAAGCAACTGCTCGTAGAGCAATCCGCAAGTACGAACGAACAGGAAGCACCGCTCGGAGGGTCGGTTCTGCTCGCCTCCGAAAAACTTCTCCAAGAGATGATCACTTAATTCTTGAGATTGCGGATTTTACGGAATCGATCAAATACTGCGGTAGATGTTCAGCAAGATCTTCACCAAATTTGTTGCAGTAAGTAAGCAGACGGTATGTAGACGTCTAGAACAAGTTAATTTAAAAGCTAGGAGACCTGCAAAAGGTCCCAAATTATTGCCCGAACATCGTGCTGCTATAAGAAATTTTGTTGAAAATTATGGACAGTGGAATATTCCTGAACAGTCGAATGTCTTGTTTACGGATGAGTCAAGGTTTTGCCTTAACATGGTGGATGGAAGAAAAAGAGTGTGGAAAAGAACTGGTGAACGGTTTAATCAAAATGCAATAACAGAATGCGAAAGTTTTAATGGTGGGTCCGTTATGGTGTGGGGAGGGATTTCAATGAATGGAAATACACCCCTTCATGTTTTTCCGGTGAGACAGTCGATGAAGGCCCAAATTTACATTGACATTCTAGAGCAGTATGTCTTACCTTATGCAGAGTTAGTTGGCAATAACTTTATATTGATGCAGGATAATGCCCGACCACACACCGCAGCAATAGTGCGAAACTTCTTAGAAGCTACTGGTATTACCACATTACAATGGCCTGCGAGGAGCCCCGATATGAATCCTATAGAACATTTGTGGGATGAATTAGGGAGAAGAGTACATTCTCGCGAGAGGTCTCCGGAAAGTCTCGCAGAAATGGCAGATGCATTAGTGGAAGAATGGGATCGTATAACAATGGAAACAATAAGCAACTTAATTTCCAGTATGCCTCGTAGATTAGAAGTTCTTAGAGTTACTATAGAGGAGGCAATACACGTTTTTTAAAATTATTGGTATCAGTTTATTTCATTAGAAAATTGTTTCTCGATAAATTCAGAAAGTTGGTAATCTGCAAGGATTCAGCAAAAAAACTGTAATTCGGAAAATTTTAGAGATAAATCAATGAATGAAAAAACAAAATGCTCGCAAAGAAGCCTCTTTCGTATAGGGTGCAAGCACTTTCTATGCCATTACTCAATTAACACACAGGGTTGAGTCAAAAATTGAGAATAAAAAAAAATCGACCTACTATTCTTTTTTTTTTTAAGAAGATAGGTCAAATATCAAGTGCGTCACTTTTTTTGGAACTGAGTGTAGGTTGACAGTAGTGATACACCTGTAATGAGGGCCAACATTATTTATTGCCCACCCATTGATGAAATAAAACCTCTGATGCGCTCACTCATCATTTGTTTCGTCAGACATAAACAATTGAATTCCAGACGATGACGTGGTGTTCACATATTGTATGTTAGATGGCGTGATTCTAGAACTTTAGATCAACATCAGTTCTACCAACCTGTCTTCATTGGTCACTATTTGGTCACAATTATCACATCATTGTCTGTAATTTTGATACGGCACCAGACTAAACTAATCGAGATTCACCGTTACCATCGAGATTTAGCCAGTGAGTCTTTTCAATTTCCTGTTGTTGGATTTTTCTTCCAATAATTGATCGTTAGACTTGAAACAGTAATATTTAAGTAGAGTGTTTGTAGTACATGGTAATATGATAGTTGCAATTTGATCATTGGAATGCATTCTGCATTCATTGCCACTAGGCAAATGACCGTTTTCAGAAAGAAATTTGAGAATGTAATGAGTTAAAAATGCCCGTTTATTATGAACATTCAAGAATATTTCCTCGAATTCAGAGATGATTTTGCTGAATATACGAATACAAAACTAACTGCACAATCCATGCTTGCGGATAGAGTAATTTTCCTCTACTCATACTTTTTATGAGAGAGTAATTGTCTTCTATTATTAATTCATCATATAACAACAATAACCTGCTAAATAGGTTGCTACCGGCATGTCATCACTATATTTATATCAGATTCCTCGACTATGATATCTGGATTGAAGGAATGATTTTCTTGGATTTCTTCGGTGGAATCAATATTTTCGTGGAAGCGCCTGATTTGTATATTACCGTAAGTACGAGATTTTAGCGTGAGCAGTTATTCTGAGCCTTTTTTCCGATTCATACAATTGTCGAATAGATATGTGATATTGTCCACCTGAAAGTTGACGATATTTTCCGAACCTATGTTCCAAATCATCTGTTTGAAATTTTCCTAGTAAATCATAATTAATCTTGAGTTCGTTAAAACAATATTGTATAACTTCTGTCATTCCATATATAGTTTGGATCAAAGCAGTATTATGTGTTCGGTTTGTTAGTTTATCAGTAGAATTTGCAGATTTCCAAGTTTCTAACCAATCTATCATTTTATGCAAGAAAATGAATTTTTCATCGGAACCAAAATTTATGGCTGTGATAGGTTCTTGAAACACATCATTCAAACGTTTGCTCTTGAGGGGTGATTTGATCGACATTCACAATTTTCCACCAGGTATCAGGTTGATAAATCCAGCAGTGCCTTCAGAGTTCTCAATGTTTGATCCAAATATCAAAAGAGCTTGTGCTATGAAATTATTGAAAATTTTAAGAGCCAAAGCGACGTTTTGTCTTTCCATATTCGAGGGAAATAGCGCCTTCAGGTTCAACGAATATCCAAATTTTAATAATTTATCATGTTCTAATTCGTGAAGAGTTTTTAAACTATGAAAAGAAGCAACTCTTTCAACCCCTGTTTCAAATTCGGGATAATTCAGTTTTGGATTTTCTGCAAAATCACTCGTAGCTTTACTGTTGACAGCATTACTGTCACTGATAATACAGAATGCTCTGTAACCAATTTCCTCTAATTTATTCATAACTCTCTTTATTAAAGGAAAAATCATGTGGTGATCTATTTTTGATGTTGGACCTATATGAACAACTTCTTTCACATTTGACATAACGCTTGCTATCATGAAGACAAACGCGGAATTTGCTGAACATGCATTATTAAATGCCGTTCCTACAATATTGCCTGCCTTGTAATCTAAATATGGCTTTATATGAACTTCATCCATCATTAAAATTACATATTGTTCACGTTCACCTGATAACTTTTAAATACATTTTCTGCATGAGATAACGACATTTGTCTTTCTTCGAATGTAGGATCTGTTAACAACTAATTACATATCGATTTGACTGTACCTGAATGAGGTAATATGAGTACTCCAGAATGTCTTAAAAAATTATAAGCATGTGGACTTATTGTATGAATTATGGAGGCTAAAAGTATGGTATTATTCGAATAACGATATCTTTCTTTGCAGGATTGTATGTAATTTAATTTTCTCAGAGAGGAACAATGAAGCTGAAGTGTTTCCAGAATCTTTATCAAGATCTGAAACCGAGTCAGAAACCAAAGAGTCCAATATATTCGAAATATGTTTCAAAACCCTCTTTTTCTGATTATCAAGAAAATTCCCCGAACCATTGATCTCGTTTATATCTATTTCAATTAGTAACTCCTTGATTTGATTGATATTATTAGAGATGGAAGGTGTCTTTTAGAGATGTTTGTATCGCTAGGCCATACAAAAATGATTCCACATTCAAAACAGAATCAATCACAACCGAATATGTAATTACGGGCCCTCGAGAATAAGACAATATGAACTGCAACTGAAAAGACTCTAATACAACTAGGAATTCTTGAAATTCTGTGTAGCAAAATGATTTTTGGTAATTTTCGAATTCAGTTTTACTTTTGGTAAGTGCTTTTGCCAAATTTTTAGTGTCTAGTATCTCAAGTTTTTCATCACGACTTGTGCGTAATTTCACACCTTTCAATAAATAAGATGGACAGTTAGAAAATCGAATAGGAATAACATCTCGTTTGAGCCTAGGAATGTTCAAATCTATCGTTACAGTTATGACAGTTTTCGAATCGGTTGCAGTAGATGTAGTAATAATAGCATATCTTTAGTAAAATATAATTCACATACTCTACTGTACTTAGATGGAGTAAAATCCTCGCGGTGAATTGCATATACCCACTTTTTCGATAGTTTCTCGTCCAACGGGAAACTAAAAGCATGAACTTTTGGACCACCCACATAATTCCCCCGACAATAGGGAACACAACACTTGAAAGGCATTGTTATTTTGCCTATCACAACACAAAATATTTCACAAAACAGTAATTTTTTCGCCAATTATTTTGATGAATAAACAACAAAAGAATTCGGTACCGCTTCAAAAACATACCTGAATCACCGAACATGAATTAACACGAACTGACGCATTAGTCGACAGGCGTTAAAACACTGGCCTCTCTTAGGTGACGTCACGAGCTGTACACGTCAGAGTATGCTAGCCTTCTAATCTCGATGGTAACGGATTCACCCACGTCATGTAATGTTTATCGAAGTAGGAGAAATTCACGGAATTGTAAAACAGGAAAGGATTGGAGTGCTTACACCAGAGGTTTATTTCATCAATGTCCACCCCATAGGGCCACTGAAACGTTAGGTCATCTGCCATTTTGAAGCCTCCATCCATAATAAGAATTCTCACAACAGATATTACGTAATATACTATCAAACCGTAAATCTTCTACACGTTTTCAAAAGGACTTCCGAGGGTTGTTTTGGCAACCATGATAATGAGTTGAAATAAGTTCAATGAACCATGAAACTGATACCTTCATCTAACCAATAGACTTATCTCTCCGTTATTGAATGAGTGGCAAATCTCAGAAGAGAGAACATTCAAAACATCTAGATTCGACAAATATGCACCATCACGAGATACACCAACATTAACCTTCAATTATTCGAAAATATCACTTGAACATTTCACTAAAATTGTTCTAAAAGTTCTAAAAGATCACTTGCTATACAAAAAATCACAAAACATTAAACATAATTTTCGCCTGGCGGCACATTCTCTGCCGAGAGTCTTTTGTGTTTGTTTTTGTCTTTGCTCTTAGTTTTCTTGTCTTTCGAGTTGGCGGGAGGTTCCTGCCTGTCACCCGTCGACGTCTCTTGTCTCGCGGCTGCGCAATTGTTATTTTGAGCGGTCAAACAACTCATCTCAATCATGTTCTGATTCTGGAAAACAACCGAGCTAGAAATTTCTGGAAATAAGATGAAATTAACCTAGTTTTAGTTGTGAGTAATAAAAAACTTGAAAGCGATACACAAAATAGCTATTAGTTGTTAGTTAGAATGAGAAACTGTGCTCTGCAGACCCAGGCAACCAGATGACGTTTCAGTGATGTCTTTTTACGCCAGTTGAATGACCAAGGTGATGTCAGGAGTTGACGTCGTGTGACGTGATGAATGACGTGAATAAGTCACAGCCCAATGACGTCACATTGCTCACATTTATTGACGTCATTCACTCACCAAACTGTGACGTCGGACTAACGTCGAAATGACGTTCAAATTTGATGATGACACGTAAAAAAGTTTCCTCGAACATGGTGTGATAATCACCAGTGACCTTTGGTGACAGATAGTATTGATTATGCATTGTTGAGTCTTCTGCGGTGTCATGTCCATTCAGTCGTCTATTCAGCATCCCTCAGCACGCATCTCCATCAGAATGGAATCAGTTACTCGAATTTGCATTAAAAATTATGTAGTTTGTGTCGGTGAGGTGTGAGCAAACCAAGAATAGTTTGATAGCAATGAAAATGTTGTTGGCTAATTTCGCTTCACTTTGTTGAATAACCCATATTCATGCATTATTTGACACCCAACAAAAAACTCAATAGGAAATTATTGAGAATTTTCTGAATGACGAAGCTCACCAAATTGGTACGTCACACTAACGTGATATTTAGACGTCATAGATACGTCACTGCAACGTCATAAAAGTGACGGTTTCAATGTAGGTACACCTATATTAACATTTCCATATACAGTGTGTCCCACTTACCATGCTCACCATGGGTATCTTTTTAACGGTGAGAGATACGAGGTCGGTTAAATGACACCAAATGTGGAGTTTGTCAAGGCCAACTATAATGTGAAAAAATATTTTGATAAAATCTATTCGTTTTTGTTTTATACGCAAAAACCAGATTTTGATCATTTTCATGTCTCCTCCATAACTTCTTTATTTATGAAAATATTCAAATAGGAATTTCACATTCTCATGGCAGTTTTTCAAAGTGATTTCGAACAAAATAATATGAAATTTATACCAACTCTTCTAGAATTTGAGATATCAGCACCAACTTTAGTTTTTCGAATGTTTTTCAAATGTAGGTCATAGCACATGATGATGTAGGTATACATGGTTTAGATATGGTCTGGGAAATATGGACGTCGACAGGACGTCCCTGCAACGTCATGAAACTGACGTCTTATTTAATCCTTCTAAGTGACGTTCACATGACGTCGAGATGATGACGTGAATATCACGTCATAGAAAGTACATCATAGTGACATCATAAACTGGTGTGTGACGTCTCTGACGAAAAATCACCAATTAAGGACGTCACAGTGACGTGATCAATCGTCATCTGGTTGCCTGGGGAGCAGTCGTAGCGAAATGCAGGCTTTCGATATACCGGAAAAATGTGGAAAATCTCACGTAACCAGATAGAACCTGAAAAAATTATAGGAGTTCCTATAAAATGATACCCTACAGGTCCTTCTTAGGTAAACTAGAAGGACCCCTTGAAATAGTTTCATTGAAGGTGATCAGACGCAAAGAAAATGTCGCTGTTTGGATGGTGTTAGCGCTCCTATTGAAGAAGTGACTGGAGGTGGCATCACCGCCCATATGCGACATGTTCATTGCATCTGACTGTACAGGGTGGGCCTAATTGGCCACTTTCAAAGGGAAAGTCCTTTTCTCCAACTACAGTTCTCAACACACTAAATGGACCACTCATAATTTGACTCTATTTCGAAGACCTGTATTTTTTGAAAGAATTGACTGATCTTCATGAAGTTTTCGATATTAGATGTGATATTTCATTGGCTTCAAAGAGAGCTAGAACACTCTGAAAAAGTCCGCAGAACAAAACTTACACAGGGTGTACAGTTACACATTGTAGAACAATTACACTATGGTCTACATTTCCAATGCTGCCAGAACTCGAGAAATTTTTTTCTGATCAAAAGTCAGTCATATTGTGATACACTGGGACCTCATCTCGGGACTTTCTTGTGATCTCTCGTTAATTGGCCATTGGAACAAATATTCGATTTTTTTTCGAAAGTCTTGCATTTCTTGAATTTTTTCTCTAGAACCTCACTTGAGCTGACTACTGAGAAGAACTGTTCTCATGTTTTGTGGAGGACAATGAGAGACGAAAAAAGCACTATTGTGAAATATATACAGGATGATAAGAATATAGGACAAAATCTCATTTCACTCAAAACAATAAATAATGGTGACTCAAGCCATGGCCTATTGGATTCAGTATATCCAAAAACGGCCTTCTCGATATCCATTATTTATATTAGACTATCAACTCGAGACATTTTCGAAAATTCGCCTCTAATTGAAATACAGGATGAAAATGTTCAATCCAAACTTGTTTTTTGATATCGATGATTCTTATCAACTGATTTCCAATATTTATTGCCCAAGTATGAGACACAGAGTATTGTTGTTCAATATACTGAGTGTTTCACAACTTATCTGAGACAAATTTCAACCACAACCACGATATTTCATGATAAAAATTTTATAGAAGTAAAACTAGATGGAAAATAAAATGTATCCACTAAAACTATTCGAAATGGGCTATTAGTGAATTCTTCAGCATTATGAAGATCTAATTAGAAAGTCCTATATCCTACATTTCAGTACTTGGTAGAACCTCTCCAATTTAACAAAACCTCATGAAATCGGTTTGGCATAAAGTCTATTAATACTGCCTCCCATTCTTCTGATACAGCTTGGATAAGGTTGTCATTATTTTGGAATGTCTCTCGCCTTCTCGATAGGTTGAGTTTCATTCGGCTCCACACCTGTTCAATCAAATTCAGATCTGGAGATAATGCTGCGTCACCATCACATTCTTCTAACATTATTGTTTTCTTGAGTTCGTAATTTGTCAGATAAGTTGTGAAACACTCGGTATATTGAACAACAATACTCTGTGTCTCATACTTGGGCAATAAATATTGGAAATCAGTTGATAAGAATCATTGATAATAGGCAACAAGTTTGATTTGGAAATTTTCATCCTGCATTTCAATTAGAGGCAAATTTCCTAAAACGTCTCGACTCAATAGTCTAATATAAATAATGGATATCGAGAAGACCGTTTCTGAATATACTGAATCGAATGGTCCATGGTTTTAGTCACCATTTTTTGTATTTTTACTGAAATGAGATTTTGTCCCATTTTCTTATCATTCTGTATATTCCAAAATAGTGCTTTTTTCGTCTATCATTGTCCTCCATGAAACATAAAAATAGTTTTTCCCAATAGTCAGCTCAATTGGAGTTCTAGAAAAAAAATTCAAGAAATGCAAGACTTTCGAAAAAAAGTCGAATTTTTGTTCCAATGGCCAATTGAGGAGAAATCACGAAAACCTCCCGAGCTGAGGCCCCAGTGTATCATTATATGACTGACTCTTGATCAAAAAACAAAGTTTTGTTCTGCGGACTTTTTCAGAGTGTTCTATAGCTCTTTTTGAAGCCGATGGAACATCACATATCTGATATCGAAAACCGCATGAAGATCGGTAAATTTGTTAAAAAAATACAGGTCTTCCAAATAGAGTCAAATTATGGTGTTGAGAACTGTAGATATTAGAAAACTGATGTCGGTGCCTGAGGGTGCCGCATATCGATATCTGTCTTCGTTTTGGAGTTACAATGTGTTCTTTGGAAATGGGCATTTTTGAAAAGTGGCTACAAATATTTCAAAAATTGTATGTTCTCATGAAAATAACTGTAAAGCATGATAAAAATCATTCCTAAGGCACTGAAATCGGCTTTCCTATATCTTGTTCAAGAATATAACTTGTTCTTCATGAACATGAAGTTCTATTTCAAAACTAGGTATATGGTGACTGATTTCAGTGCCTGAGGATCAATTTTCATGACAAATACAATGCTTTGGAAATTTTTTTATGGAAACGAAGAATTGTTGACAAAAAAATTAGTTTCAGCCACTTTTTGAAAATTCATATTTTCGAAAAATACCTTAGTAACTCTGAAACGAAGATAGATATCGATATAAAGTTTTCACCATTGAGTTTGTCATGTAAATTGATCAACAGACACCAACATCAGTTTTGTTCTATCTACACTCAGTTCCAAAAAAAGTGACGCACTTGATATTTGATCTTCTTTTTTTTTAAGAAGATAGGTCGAATATCAAGTGCGTCACTTTTTTTGGAACTTTAAAAAAAATGAAACTCTTCTAAATTCTGAGTTATAACTCGGAATTTTGAAATTCCGACTTATATCTCGGAATTTTACATTCAAAACTCCGAGTAATAACTCAGAATTTTAAAATTCCGAGTTATAACTCGGAATTTTGAAATTCCGAGCAATAAGTCGGAACTTTGATGTAAAATTCCGAGTTATAACACGGAATTTTAAAATTCTGAGTTATAACTCGGGATTTTGGATGTGAAATTCCGAGATAAGTCGAAATTTTTAAATTCCGAGTTAAAACTCAGAATTTTGAAGAGGTATTTTTTTTTATTTCACGTGTCCCTTCCAGGCCTGAGTTATAACTCGGAATTTTAAAATTCCGACATATCTCGGAATTTTACATTCAAAATTCCGAGTTATAATTCAGAATTTTAAAATTCCGTGTTATAACTCGGAATTTCACATTAAAGTTCCGAGTTATTGCACGGAATTTTAAAATTCCGAGATATAAGTCAGAATTTTGGATGTAAAATTCCGAGTTATAACTCGGAATTTTGAAAAGTTGATTTTTTTTTATTTTACGTGTCCCTTCCAGGCCTTCGTAGTAATAGGACTTTACCTTTAAATGTGTCTAATTTGGCCCACTCTTTACATTGCATATACCGATTTGATGGTCTGATTTTGATGTGACATTTTTCAGTAAAGTAAAAACAAGTCTAATGAATTATATCAATATTGTATTGTCTCATATTTAGCTCACTTAGTTTATCAGGGGTGGATTGTTTCATATTTTGTATGATGAAGACATTTCAAAATGTAAGTAGCTTGAACCTTAAAAGAACAGGTATTCTGGTTTATTGTCCATAAAATAAACCATTCTCGAGAAACAGAATAATAAACTTTTTTTTTGTTAGTCACTGAATTGAAAGTATGCATTAGCTCCCTCATTTAATGAAGCAAAGTTGTCAATTCACTCCCAAGCAGGAGTTGAAAGAAATTATCTCCTGTGGGAGGTGAGATACATTAGCTTTCGGATGCTTCCTTGGCATCGATATTCATATAAATCCTCACTAACATTGAACAAACTTGTTATCTTATATTTCCAGGTTTATATTTGAATCCAAGAGATATCCCACATTTTCATGGACACCCTAAACAAATGAATGAACAAAAATAATTATTGTGTATGTGTTGGCCAAAGTATGTTTCATTGGGCATACCCAAGGAGCATATAGTCAGAGATCTCTGAGATGGGTATACAGGGTGATTCAAAAGTAAGCGGCATCCTTTCAGAGGCGTATTCCTTGCATGAAAATAAGGCAAAAAGTTCCTATTGATAAGGATCCGAAAATGCTTCCTAAGGGAGCTACGGCCCTTTGAATAGGACACCTCAAAGACGGTTTTTTCTCTATAACTTTAAAATCCTTCACAACAAATTTTTAAAAATTGGTGTACGGCATAAACATTCGATGGTAAATAGGACTCCGTATTCGAAATAATTTCCAAACGAAATCACAGTAACCTGAATATCCGGAGAAGAAGGGATATTTTTACACTTACCCTCTCCCGCATGTGACGCCCCTGAATGAAATTCTGAAATTTCGAATACGGAGTCCTATTTACCATCGAATGTTTATGCCGTACACCAATTTTTAAAAATTTGTTGTGAAGGATTTTAAAGTTATAGAGAAAAAACCGTCTTTGAGGTGTCCTATTCAAAGGGCCGTAGCTCCCTTAGGAAGCATTTTCGGATCCTTATCAATAGGAACTTTTTGCCTTATTTTCAAGCAAGGAATACGCCTCTGAAAGGATGCCGCTTACTTTTGAATCACCCTGTATATGTTTCATTGAGCTACAAAAAAAATGTAATCAAAAAGTTGTTGGGATTAATATAAAGTGTGTTTCACTTGATGTGTCTACTATTAATTACATAATAATGAATTGGTCTATTTTTTTTAAATTTTTCAAGAAGCTCTACATCCTGGTATGCCTAAAGTGAATCACATACATGGTGACCATTTGAAAACGAAACAGCGGCTCTATCAAAAGTCGAGATACAAAAACAACACACGAGACACAACAAATCCTAATGTTCTCGATTTTAAACACCCTACATCTCTATAATCATTCCGGCTAGACCTCAAGTGTGACGTATTGATGAAATCAGCTCTTCAAAGAGAATCTGAAAATGCAATGGAATACAGGGTATTCCATTTGAAATAACAAAGTTGTTGCTATTTTTCGACAGAGGTAGCAACGCCGCAGCGTTGAAAATATTTTTTAACGATATTCCCCTTGACAATGTAGTTGACGTGTTTCAATATTTTTTTATATTCCGGTTCTGGCGACCTAAAAAGTCCCAGTTTTCTCTTCAAATGGCCACCCTGTATATATTCTCTGAATATTTCTGAGAAATATTTGCTCCATATATCATAATATAAAAATGGAAATTGCGTTTCTAAATGGAACAAACCAAATATTCTTTAATTTTTATTTCCGAATTCAAAACTATCACCGACAATTTTCAAACAAACAAAATATCAAAGAGATAGTTTTCATCTCAGTAAAATACTATCGACCCATATATCGAAGGATTTATTTCCTTCTCTTACAAGATTAAACTTCATGAAGAACAAAAGTTTTGCAAGTAATAACGCATTTATCCTAACACTTTTTTCATGGAACGAACTGAATACACTGCAAAACTTGTGATCTTTTCCTAAAAATTCAGCCGGTATGTACAATCTATCATGAAGAGTAAGTATGATTGATGAAGTTTAACAGTGATATTGCTAAATATGACATGCATGTGATGCAAAGCAGAAGGAATATATGTAAATCATTTACTGGAAAATCTAGCAGCAGTAGTTGGTCGTAACCTAAACAGTACTTGATACTAGCCGCTGAAATCAATACACTAAAAAAAGGATTCAAGATAAAGCCAACGAATTGAGATGGAACAAAGGCAGTGAACTTTTCTAAAACTAAATGATGGGAAACCAGATATAAGAATTTTTAAAAAAATTTATATAGTTCAAGCATATTTGTGGATTCTTCATAACTTTTGACCATTAGAATGAAATGTATCTGGAATATTTTCTGTATGTAGACAAGGAGAACATTTTTAGTCTTTTAATGTAGGAGTGGACAGGACCCCGCACATTTTTTAGGAACAATGGCATTCGGACAACTTTTCTGAAATTCTGATTTGTTTTAAGTATTATTGGGGACCTCATTAAACATTCTGATCGACAAATCGGAAATCAAGATGAAAAATTGATTGATTTTGATTTTGTGATGTTTTCTCAATCATTTGAAAAACAAAGTTGAAAGATCATTCAGACCTGGGCTCATTAGCTGGTTTTGTTTACAATTATCGATGATGATACATTTTGCAAAGCATTAGACTACGTATACATAGATCGTTTCATGTACCATGAAGCCCACACTAGTGCTATGTTCGTTCAATCTGATTCCTATATTCTGATATGTTTGTCCAATATATTTCAAGCTACAGTCATTTATTTTGGTGGTTAAGCGATCCATTTCATTGATATGTCTTTGCAAATTATCATTTCAGAATGAAAAAAAAACACGTAGATACTCATTGCAATTCATTGATAGCTGATACTTGGCTTGAATAGATGCCAACGTAGGAAACTCAGAGTGAAGCACCTCTTATGGGGTGATTTTCTGGAGATTATTCCTAAAATACTAAAAGTAAGTTTGAAGTATGAACTCAATTTCATGTCGGCATATCATGAATTTTGTTATTGCTTTTTGTTGGATAATTTATGATATTTGAGTGGTAAATAGTTATTTACCTAACAAGTGCGAAAAGTAGTACTTTTCCGCACGCGTCGTTCGTGCTAGTCGTCAAGGGCGGAAAAGACATTTTCTTCAAGTCAGGTGCTAAGTTTTTCCTACGAGTGTTTTTGTCCATATTATCATTCAGTTAGTCCTAAATATCTTCATTTTCAACAACACAAAAATCGTGCGGGAAGTAACGTTTTAGCACTAGTGCGGTAAAGTAACTTTTCCGCACGAAATAGATTTTTTTTATCGATATAATAGGAAACTTATTTGAAGAACATTTAAATAACAATAACTGAAACATTAACGATGGTAAATATTGAAATTGAAAGTGCAATTTGTGTTTGTTGCATGCTGTAATATAGCAGATGCCGCAACATCTTGAAGAACGTCGTTTTTTATCTCAATTTGATAGGTTAGTGTTTGCATTAATCATTTCCAGGGGGAAATCTTGAAAGTTTCCTGAGTTGTCAATTTTTAATTGGAATTAGGTTCACGGAAAAGTGACACTTGAAATGCTTATCTGTTGACTATAACTACTGTCAGTTTATAGCGAATGTTGCTATGGGTACGTTCTGGTGCCAACAGCTATCACCACATGTCTCCTAGTATTCCCTTCGAAATCGTGCGGAAAAGTAAAATCGTACGGAAAAGTACACTTTCAAAACGAAAAATGCGGAAATGTTACTTTACCGCACGCTCGTAGGGACATTTTTTATCACACCTTTGACGGCTTTCCCGAAGTCCGCTCCGCGTCGTTCGTGCAACTGCCGTCGCGTGCGGAAAAGTATATTACTTTCTGCACTTGTTCAGTAAATAACAATTCCATATTCTCTACTGGCTTCCCATCTGGACTAAGAAAGAAAGAGGAAAAATAATATGTACCTCACCTTGTTGTCCGCGTCTGCTAACGGATTCGCAGTTATAGTTATTCTATTCGGAGTACAACCGTTCGATTTGGGAATGGTTTTCGGACCGACGACATACTCGTTTCCGTCCACTTGGATGTGGTGGTCGTCCACTGATTTGTCACGATTGTCGACTGAAAGCAAACATGAACAGTGTACTAGTGACAAAACCGAAGGTTGGATGTGTTAATATTATTAATAATAATAATAATATATATTTCGGAGAATGTTTTACATTTTACAGAAAATACAAAAGAAAAACAAAAAACGAAACAACGTCAACGTATTTTGTACAGGGTGGGCCAAATTCGATGGGATTTGGGGTTTTCTCTGAAACCATCAGTGCTAAACAAAAACCGACCACGGTGTCCTGAGCTTGATTTTCGTGAAAAAAACAATGGCGCAAACCGCGATTGTCTATCTTTTTTGGCTGCCGAACTACAGAGCGTTTTTGAGATTTTACCTTTTATTGGTGACGTCATTATCTCGATCACCGTGATTCCTGTCAAAAAATGAATAACACTTTCTCATAGCAATCTTTTGAGTTGAATTGATTACTGATAAGAGCAAAATTATTCATCGAACAGTTTTCGAGATATGAACCTAATTTATTTTTTTAAAATGAGACACCCTGTAAATTATTTCACCATTCGATCAAAATTTCAATTACCTTTCGAACGATGTATCATATGTTATAGTTACTTTGAGAACAAGTGGTTGTTTTTCGAAAATCTTTATATTCAGGGAGTTGATCGACAATAATTTTATCAAGTAAGTATTATTATAAGAATATGAAAAAAACTTGAAAAGAATCATTGAAATAAATTTTCAAATTGTCTTCCATTGACATCTATGCACTTCTGACATCTTCTTTTGACAGCATTCGTGGCATTTCTTCTCATTATAGGAGTTATTTTTCGAAACGCAGCTAACGTTCTGTTTTCCAATTCCTCGATGTTATTAGATGGTTCTCTATATATCATATTCTGCAAATGACCCCAAAGCCAGAAATCGCAAGGGGTGATATCAGGAGATCCTGCTGGACACAAAATAGGACCATTGTTCCCTACAAATAAAATAATATTTGAATGAGCTGATTATTCTAACGTCTACTTTGGTGCATTAAATAATTTAGAAGAAACTTTCAATGCTATCATGATAGAAATATATATATGCGTTTTACAATAGTTCTGAGTAACATACCTATACAATTTTCTCCAAATTGAACATTCAAATAAGTCCTAGTATCACATGATGTATGGCTTGGCGCCCCATCATGTTGAAAATAATAATATATTCTTTCGAATTGTCTCACAGGCATTTTTGGGCGAGGTTTGACAAAAGATCCAAAATCTTTCAAATTTGACTGTAACCTTTTGAATATTTTTGGGTTGAGTTGTATTTTCTCTGGGTATCTATAAGATGATTTGACTGTTAATTTTGGACAACCGTTTCACTGTCGACTATTCTATCACTTACCTATTGAAATAAAGTTCAGAAGCTAAGTTTTCATCTTCTCCACTTTCGATAAAATACTTGAGCATATCATATTTCTCTTCATTACTAAATTGAACCATTTTTTGTGAATAAGCGTCACAGTTGACAATAATAATTAATGGATTATGGTTGTCATTTCTCCATGGCCTTCTTGAGAAGTATAAGGAACATATAATGAAATGCAATTGGAAGACGACAATAGGAAACAATTCGCACCTCAGTTGAACTGAAATTTCGAACTTTCTCACAGTTTTGAATGATAATTATCAAATAAACGTGAATATTTGTGAATTTGATAAAGCTAGTTAGTTATTATATTTTTCTTCAGTTTTTCATGGACTCATACCAGATTTTTCGAAAAACAACCACTTGTTCTCAAAGTAACTATAGCATATGATATATCGTTCGAAAGGTAATTGAAATTATGATCGAATGGTGAAATAATTTACAGAGTGTCCCATTTAAAAAAATTAAATTAGGTTCATATCTCGAAAACTGTTCGATGAATAATTTTGCTCTTATCAGTAATCAATTCAACTCAAAAGATTGCTATGAGAAAGTGTTATTCATTTTTTGACAGGACTCCCGGCGATCGAGATAATGACGTCACCAATAAAAGGTAAAATCTCAAAAACGCTCTGTAGTTCGGCAGCCAAGAAAGATAGACAATCGTGGTTTGCGCCATTGTTTTTTTCACGAAAATCAAGCTCAGGACACCGTGGTCGGTTTTTGTTTAGCACTGATAGTTTCAGAGAAAACCCCAAATCCCATCGAATTTGGCCCACCCGTACATGGAAAATAGATTACACATTTAGATGTTACACCTTGAAATATTCATGAATTGAATAGGGTTCTAAATGTATTAGAAAGCTTCTAACACTTTTTTTATATTTGTTGAGACTTTCGCAGGTTTTGATACAATCAGGTAATCTATTAAAAAACTTCAAAGCTGCATATGATGGGTGTTTTTCAGTAAGTGTCAATCTATGTATGGGGTAACTTATGTTTGTACTACGTGTTGGATATGAGTGGTTTCCACCAGATACTGACAGTTTGCTTTTATTCTTGAATAAGTAGACTACACATTCATAAATATAAAGTGCATATATTGTCAGGATGCTTTTCGCTTTGAACAAACCTCGACAGGATTGACCATACTTAATTTTGAAAATAAGTCTCATTGTTCTCTTTTGAATGCGAAAACTGTCCGCTATGTTACTATGGCTTCCCCAAAATATTATTCCAAACTTTGCTGTTGATACAAAATTCGAGAAGTACATGATTTTCATTGAAATTTCGTTTAGATATTTACTTATAATCCTGATGGAGTAGCATATTTGGTTCAATTTCTTCCCCATATTTATGATATGTGTATGCCAACGCAGATGTTCATTCATATGAATACCCAAAAATTTGGTTGAGTTTTGTACATCCATTTTTTTATTTAATAATTCTATGGTTTGTGGAGTTTCAATTCTTTGTTGTGGTGTTCTGAATAGTATGATGTTTGTTTTGTCTACATTTAAAATCAAATTGTTTTTCGTGAACCAGCTTTCTGTTCTACTCATTAGGTGATCTGCTTTTTCAAGTAAATTTGGGTAATTTGTGCTTGACACTAACAGATTAGTGTCATCAGCATAATTAGTAATTTGACATGCATTTTCTTCAGTATTCAAAATTTCCAGAATGTCATTCATGAAGATTATGAATAGAACAGGACCAGTTATACTTTCTTGTGGAATACCGATATTATTTATTCTTATATCTGACTTGTCAGTTTGTCTATGCTTTATTATTTTTGTTCTTTGTTGGCGTTCGTTCGGATAGGTATGATTTGTGTGTATGTGTTGATATCATAATTCATATTATATCAGAAAATCGAATCCAATCTCCAAATTATCCAATTCCAGTGTTCACAGAGAGATCCAACATTGAACCCAAGAGGGAAGTTTTTGGAAAACACACTATTGAAATGCTTAATCAGAAGACTGAAATTCCTTCAGAATTCTTGGCACAAAATGGACTTTTCCTTTTTTTTACACTAGCAAATTTAATAATTCCATACATCTTGTGCATACAGTATGCAGCATCTACAGTGGGGAACTATTCGCAATTCGGCAAGCAATCAAGTTTGTTGTTGAAGGAATACAGAAAACATTGATCCTAACAGACTCGCCGAGTTCACTTCAAGGCATGCAACAAATATATATATTCTGACAATCTCTTTGTTCAAGACCATCAAGAACCACATTGATTCAATCAGCTCTACCTCTAGAGAGCTGAAATTCATGTGGTTTCCCTCACATGTCGGCATCCCTGGTAACGAACCAGTTGACCAAATTGCGAACGAAATAATGAATGAACCAACCATATCCGACAAATTCAACAGGTGATACTCACTCGCCTGCGTACTGGACATACAAAAGGTACACACATGAACTCTCACTGACGGGAGGTGAAGTGAAAGAGTGTGTTCATGACATTACTATGGGTTTAAGAACAGTTCTTGGTAACAGATGATGTAATATTGTGAATATCTTTGGTTTCCTTTCTGACATAGGTCTACTTAACAAACTATGATAACCTAATCAGAATGAAATTATTATTGTCTGTAATGTAAACACTAGAATACTATTATGTTGCTAATAACCCTCAGTGGTTGTGCATGAAGCCATCGTTAATCTTGAAATTATAGGTTTCCAATTGACCATTCTAAAACACGTGATTTTGACATGGTTTCTTGAGGGGCACACAAACTATCTGTAAGGTTACCTTTGATGAGCATAGCGCTGGCCATCCCTGCCACATCGACAATATAATAACAGTTTCACCAAACCAAATTATGAAATTCTTTCAGTTTCCAACTCGGATTCCAAGGAAAACGATCCCACTAATTTTGGTTTTATATGACAATTCTTGACAAATACAATGCTTGCCCCTCAGCAACCTGTCAAATGACGTAATACTGGAATGATTAATAATTTTCCTGTGGGCCATCAGATTTCCAGGTATTGCGATAGTCTGCAGTGTTGTGACATTTTGTCTCTCTGTAGCGCAGACATAGGTAAGGTATAGTTGCTCAAACAATCTACTTATACCCTTTTGCCACTAGATGGCTCTCAAGGCCTGATAGACCTTCTTCTCTATTTGGTCCTAGGATAAAAATGAAATTATGAACCAAAATTCTCACCTGACTTCTTCTGCTTCCATTTTCGGCATACGAACACCAACGTTATCCCGCACACTAATAAGGCGCAACCGATCACAGCTCCGGCAACGATGACGTAAAGACTGTATTCTTGTTTTTCACCTCGAGGGGGCAACATCGGAGCCGCAGTGGTTGTGCTCTGTGAATGATTACCTAAGAAGAAAAATAATAAATAGGAACAATTGAGAACATTGCGTGCCAGAACTCACGGATACATATTCTCTCCTCTTTTCCGGATCATTGTCGATCTAAATGAAAACCTAGTAGGCGACCTAGTACGAGGAGGATAGCTCTACTGACTACCTAACTAGGTTGTCATCTATAACGACAATGTCCGCATCATTAACAGAAACATTAGCATTTCTACATAAACAAGACTTCAAAGGTGCTTATAGAACAAATAACAACGTTGAGAAGTCAAAATAGCCAAGACAAAACTTCTGCAGTATAGAAACTGAATTGTAAAGCTTGTCCCAAGTTATACAGGCTTTTTCAAAAAACCTGACCCCCTTAGGATTTGTTTGTGTGGAAACTATTCATTATCGGTCAAAACATGTCCCTATCTGAACTTTTGATTTACTATTCACTGATATTCAATCGGAACAGTTACAGGGTGATCAGAATTCTGAATCTTGAACCACACTGTATATGTTCCGATTAAATATCAGTAAATATGTGAGCCGTTTTGACCGATAATGAATAGTTTCGACACAAAAAATCCTAAAGTTGAAAATCTCGATTATGAATACCCTATATCACTGTAATCATTTTCGATACACCCCAAGTGTTATGTACCGATGATATCAGCTCTTCAGGTAGAATCTAAAAATGCGATAAAATACAGGGTGTTCTGTTTGAAATACCAATGTTGCTACTACTTTTTAGTAGAAGCGGCAACACTGCATTGTCGAAAATATTTTAAATGAAGGGAGTTTATTCTGAAATATTAGCATGCACATATTTATGGATTTCTATCGACTGATTCTTGATATAAAGATAGTGTAAGCTCGTCGTGACGGCCTAAGGACAACCCTGTCATGTCTGCCTTACCACTAAATGCCTCTCACACTAGGTATTGAAGAATTTAGTGTTTCCATTGAAGCGAGGATATTTGAGATATCACTTGATATAATTCATAGTGGAAGGAGAAGATGGTGTGCCTACGTGCATATTATGTGACGTCATCTGGGATACCAATATCAGCTGCTAGTCACAGACAGATACCGTTGCCATGGGCGTGCGCAATGAATTCAATCATGTTCATTGAAATTTCTTCAAGTTCCTCGATCTGTTTAGAAATAATTCGATTTGTATAAACATTCCTTCGATTTTACTATTTCATTGAATCTGGAAATTGTGATCTTGAGGTAATTCGCAATCGCAAATAGCAAACACATACGAATTATCATGCATTGCCAATCCCATCTGAATGATCCGCTACTGTGTCGATTCTGACAGATTGAAATTCAGCAGTTAACAGTTATTTCTGCTCCGACATCGACAACAGGAGTACCAATTTTTGCCGTTTTGTTATTCAAATCTTTGCTGCAATTTATATTGATCATTCTAGAACACGTGATTTTGACATGGTCTCTTGAGGGACACACAAACTATCTGTTAGGTTACCTTTGATGAGCATTGCCCAGACCGTCCCTCTGCCACATCCACAATATAATAACAGTTTCACCAAACAAAATTATGAAATTCTTTCTGGTTCAAACTCGGATTCCAAGGAAAACGATTCCACTAATTCTGGTTTTCTATGACAGATCTTGACAAAATACAATGTTTGCCCCTCAGCAACTTGTCAAATGACGTAATTCTGGAATGATTAATTTTGTGAGAAATTAAGAGTTTTGAATTCATTTTCAATTATCTTTGACTTGATATTCGGAAGATGTTCTGTAGGAATGGCATCTTGTTTCAAATATTTGTGATTTTTTGGAAGTGTGTAATTCAAGAACCGTACTTTCGCACTTGTTTGGGAACATTTTGCATGGAAAGAAGAAATACGGACTGTAATATGAATATGTGATGATAATATGATGGGTGAATACTTTGGAATGAGGATATAAGGAATAAAAGGTAGGTACCATAATTCGAATTTATATTCTGTCGGCAGCAAGCTCCCACGTTTCATTAGGTGTCTCCATTCTTGGAAAAGCAGAAAAATTCAATATCTGTGCCTTTTGTATGTGAGTTGGAATTTCCATAACCAGCAACGAAACAAGTAGGCATTTCGAAATTATTTCATTCAATTTTAGTACTTATATAATATCTGAAGTTCGAGACATCAATCACGAAAACAAATAATAGCAATGACAGTTATATCCCAGCTGACGTCATGCGCAGAACAAGACGAGTTTGAGCTTTCTGTTGAGCACACCATCTTCTCCTTCCACTATGATATAATTTATTGTTTTGAAGTTGTCAATTATTCCTGAAATAAAAAAGTATTCGCACCTCGTCGTTCAATAAATACCAATCTAAGTACCCATGCACGAACTGTTTAACATAACATTCAATGTTATAAACTCATATCTTCATTTTGTAGAAACGAGGAGAATGAATCCCAAATGAGTAAAATGAATGTTACACCTCCGTGATTAACCTACAGACAGTATTTAAGCTACCAATGTTTGTGAAGTTTTCACAATTGAAATATTATGGACTTCCTTCAAGAATTAACGGCCAAGTCAATTAAAAAAAAAAACGTTCAAATACTTAACGAGATTCTCACCTTCCGTTCTTGCCTTCATGATAGGACTGAATTCGCTGGCATGTTTCGAGTTGAAGCTCTGCAATTTGATGTCGTATATGGTGTCCGGCACAAGATAACTGAGAACGAATTCCCTGGTGTTCTCTCCATCCACGGTGGCTTTCATATAGTCCCCAGCAGTGGATGCTGACATGAAACTGATGTAGAAGCCATCTACACTGATGTTTGTCGATATGGTGACCTGAAAAAAATATTATATCATGATTTCCTTGCTCCAGAATGCACAAGGTGATTCTATGGATGTTTATAGAATATTGAATATTGAGTACTTCATTAAAGAAGGAAAGTGACCCCCTTAAATCATTCTGCTTTTATATAATTCAAGTTAATTTTACAGGGTATATCAGTCTCTTTTGTTTTTTGTTTGGAAGCCAAAGAACTCAATGTAAACAACTATTGCATGGTACTCAGGAACACTGGTGAGTTCATTGAATTTTAACATACCATATCATGAAAACTGTATACTTACATTAATTTTGAATTATTTTGGGCTTTACTTGCTACTTCATTTTTACATGTAGCAAGGAGTCTTGGAAAAAAGGCAATCAACTTCTGCTTTCCAAAGAATTTTTCAAATAAATTTGTTCAGCATGTAGTTGAATATGAATCCAAAGTTCTTTCAAAATGTTCATTGAAAATAATATTGAATTTCAAATCATGCAAACAAATTTGTGTCCCAATAATTTTAAATTATTTTTCAGGAAGGAAGACCATGAAAATAATTGAAATAAGTGTTGATTCTTACTGAGGTCCTTACATAGAGGTCTGTTAAATGAGGTGTATAACATTCAGCTCCAATTATTTTCTCAAATTTTCAGGTAAAGAAAATGGTTCAGAACATTTTGTGGAACAATGCCATTTCTTGAGAGGATACACTTATTATGGATAAATTCAGTGGGGAATAATGGCCCTAAAATGTCCCTAATGAACTTGAAAGAAACTAATTTTCTTGAATAATTCTTCTTTCTCCAAAACTTACATAGAAATTTCAGTTAATTTTATGAAACATTTTGTGTTGATCTTATAAGGAAGATATCTTAAAGATATTTTCATTATGTTGCACTTTTATTGCATTAATAAAATGGAATGAATTGTGATAATGACTTCTTTTTTGCTTCATTTCCTTATCATTTCATCTTCAAACAATAATATTTTCCAAATTGATACTGAAATAAAACCATTGAGTTAAAATCATTCAATTTATCCAGTAGGAAATCCTCTTCAGTTAATTGTTTCTTCTTTCTCAGAAATGATGGCCATATCAATTTCAAGAATTTTTCTTCACATCTCTTGTCAGCATGCCCTTATCCACCAAGATTCCATCATTAAGTTCAGACTGCCCAATACAATTTTCGTTATTAAAAATTGCTTGATCAGTAGCTCAACCTCCATATCCTTAAATGCCAACAGTAATCAGTCCTGATGGAGTGATATTGCAATAAGAATTTCACTGAGTTTTTGAAATGTTTCTGTACAACAGGGGCACTGAGGAACATGACATATCTTTCTAGATTCCTGTTTTCAATCTTTTGTACTTGCTGCATGTTTTGGGAAAACAGTGAACTATCTCGTAAATACAAAAAAATATTGGAAAACTTCAAAATTTATCAAAATTCCCTGGATTGCACAATGCTAAATTTGTTTGTTTTGTTTATCACCTCCGCCATTTTCATTTTGCCGCTCGACAAAAGACGACTGGGGAAACAGTGACGTCAGGTCAGAACAATATGAGGCAACCAATGGTCATTTACTGCCGATACGTGTCATGAAACTATTATGTGAAACACTGGTTCTCTCTCAATTCAATTATGCTGATGCTCTCTATGGTCCCAATATGACCAACCGATATAAGACAAAAATCCAAAAAATACAAAATGCATGCCTGCGATTGATCTTTGGTATCCGCAGGAGGCAAAGAATTTCACACAAACTCCATGAAATCGGATGGCTAAATATGGACAATAGGAGAACACATCACACTCTCATTCTATATCATGAAATTATTACCAAAAAAGTACCTCCCTATCTCTCGAAAAAAATATCATACCGTACCGACGTCCATAACTTGAATATTAGGAATAAGGGACTTTTAACTATGCCACCTTTCAAAACAGAACATTTCAGACGCTCTTTCAGTTATCAAATCTGCTATCATTGCAACCCGGTTTTTGGAAAAATAAAAGAATTAAACAGATTGAAATTCAAATTATATCTCAAAAAATATCTATTGAAATCTCAAAAATAATATTTGAAGAATTATAATTGATCCCACTTTGTATGAATATTCATATCTCTATAATATTGTACTGACTATACCTATTACATCGATTTCTTGGCACGACAGCACAGGTTGTTGAGGGTTAAGTGGAAGAATATTTTTTGGTGTTTACACAGCAAAAAATAAACTTCGCCCTTTGCTTCCAAAATAAATATATTGTATAGAATGTTTATTTGTAATTTTTTTTTGTGATTGGAAGTAATAAAGACGATTTATTATTATTATTATAGAGTTAAATAGCCTTGGGTCTCACCTTCCAATGTATCCTTACGGCGGTCGTGTTCACCGTCTCGGTGTGCGTGATCAGCGGCACAGGCAGCGGATTCCTGGCGTCGAAGTCCAGCCGCTTCAGGTGGAACCGCTCCGAGTTGGGACTGAGCTTGTTGTCGTTGTTGCTGTAGACGGCCGCGATGCGGAATCGGTACACGTGGTCGGCCAGCAGGTTGGCCGCGTGGTAGTCGCGTAGGTTGGGCGCGATGTCCTCGTTGGCGGTGCGCCACCGGCTCTTGTTGTAGGACTCGGGGCTGCTGGCGGGGCCGAGGTCCCTGTACTGCACCTTGAAGAAGGATATCGGCAAGCCTATGAGGAAAAAAAGGATTGAGAGACTCCAACGGCGTTTCAAGGTGTAAAGGGGCCAACAACTTTTTTCCAAACATTAGATAGATAGATTTATTGTATTGAAAGAATTACAATTCTTATTACAAGGGTTGGATGATCTTTGATTGATAATACATGAGAACTAATAGCTAAAACGAAAACAAAAATCCTTCCTGCGGGACCTAGATAGGCATTGAAACAATAATTGATATGCAAATTACTCATTCACAGCAAAAAATCTAAGCTTCAACAAATTGATCAGAACCTGTACTAGGAGTTTCAAGTCAGCTAGGCCACCGAAATTCAGAAGATATATTAAATCATCAAGAGATTCAACGTCTTGAAATAATCGACAATCCCTGATACCAGCATAAACTGGACATTCAAAGAGAATGTGTTCCAAAGATTCCGGTCTGTGGAGATTGCAAACAGTGCATTCTTCTTCAGTATTGAAGCAGAACGCCCTGTATAAGCATCGCATTTTCTGAGGAATCAGTGTTTGTGCCAGTTACCTACCTATGATTTGCTATTGCTTTCGTGGTAATCCAATAGATGGAGGAAGAATGTTCATTTGGAAAACTTTAAATATATCGTCCCTTGTTTTTGTGGCGCTAAGGCAAAAAACGCACTTGGTATCGTTTGTTCGAGCTCGACTTTTTGATTTTGTGAGCATTTGTGATTGATGGTAGCTCTTAGTTCCAGCGTGTTGAATATTGCTTTTATATAAAGTGTTGTTTTGCACCGACTTAGTGCCAGGTAAAGTAGTTACTCTTTATATTTTTCATGTATTTTAATGGTGCCTTATGTACATCTTCCAGATTTCATATACATTATATTTAGCCACGTTGGTGGGTGATTGGCAAAATAAAACCCCATACTTTCCGAAACTACTTATTTCGCGACCTGAAACTCCCCCTGAGGATATTCTGTTACATCTGGCGCCCACAGTGGTAGCGAAAAAAATTGGAAATTATGAACGAATCACAGCCTAACACCCCAGGCTCAAACGGCTATAATTTAAGACGAAGGGCAACTATATTCAACAGTTCCGGACAACGAGTGGAACAGTTAAGAAATGAAGGGCAAAATCTTGGTGGAATACCCCAGAAAATTCCAGAGGTACCACCTCCTCCCTCCACACCCTTCAGTGAACAAGGTAGGCCAGTATATTTTCCTTATTCGGCTCCGCCCCCAAATGGGTTTCGACATAACATTGCTAGTCATGCTGCACCCCCAGCGGCATCTACGTCCACAAATGGGCCACCACCTCCAGTTTTTCACCCCACTGGTGGTCCTGCCATGCCTCTTTTCACCCCACAAGGCATAACCAGGCTTGTTGCTGAAGTTGTTCAACAAATGCAGAACCAGAGGATTTCGAATGAGGATCCACCTAATAGCAACCGAAATAATAGAACAATTGATAGGCCTTTCAGTGAATTTTCGAAAAATGTGAAAGAGTTACAAAAATTCTTAGGGTTATGTAATTACGATCGACCTTTCTGTCCAAATTTTGCTAGCGTTCCTGAACCTTTGACGTGTTTATTACGAAAAACAGTAGCGTGGCGTTGGGGAAGTCGTGAGCAAGATGCGTTTGAAAAAGTAAAAAAATTATTAAGCGAGGCCACTATGTTATATCACCCGTACCCTGATCTCGAGTGGCATGTACAGGTGGATGCCAGTGACACTGCCTTAGGTGCGCATTTATTTCAGTTGGTAGGCGGACAGAAAAAAGTCGTTGCTTGGGCTAGCAGAGTCTTGCTACCACGAGAAACGCGTTATAGCGGCACTGAAAAAGAAATATTAGGGGCTGTTTGGGCCTTAGAACGTTTTCGTGTTTATTTACTAGGTCGAAAATTTACGTTATACACTGATAACCGTGCTCTGACTTATTTGGAGAAATGTAGGCTATTATCCCCTCGTATAACGCGCTGGGCGCTCGCTCTGCAGGAGTATACCTTTGACTTTAAGTACGTGCCAGCGGCCGAAAATCTGATTTCGGATGCGTTGTCAAGGTTTTGCGGGTCGCGCGTACCTACGCCTATGGATAAATGTTTTAAAGTTTTGTCGAATTTCCAATTAGCTCCGGAGTTCCTTAAAATACTGAAAGATTTCAAAAAATATCAACGAGAGGATGTTAAACTTGGTGATATCCTATCCAACTTACCGGGTGATGAAAAGTTGCAGACCCATTTTGTCGTGCATAACGAACTTCTTTATTTGAGACAGGCTTTAGACGAATCTTGTTTACTTTGCGTACCTAAAGCGTTGACCACGAAGTTTTGTAAATATTTTCACGAACATATAGGACACTTTGGCGTCTACAAAACGTGGTGTTCTCTGAAAAGCGAAGTGTGGTGGTCAAATATGCATTCGGACATCAAAAAGGTATTACGCACTTGCGAAATATGCCAAAAAACGAAATATACCGCTATGCCAAAACCTGCTATACATCCGGTCGTTCCCACAACGAAAGGCGAATTCGTGGCCCTTGATCTTTATGGACCTTTGCCCAGGAGCAGGGGCGGGACCACTTTCCTTTTAGTTGTGCTAGATACTTTTTCTAAGTTCGTGGCTTTGTACCCCCTTAAAAGGGCCACCACCCGCGCTTGTCTGAACCGGTTAATTCTAGATTATTTTACGAAAATAGGACGTCCTAAAAAAATATTATCAGATCATGGCACCCAGTTTACTTCCGCTTCTTGGAAAAATACTCTGAATTCTCTAGGTGTGGAAGTAACTTATTGTTCGGTACGTCACCCTCAAGCTAATAGTTCGGAAAGGGTTATGCGTGAATTAGGGAGGCTATGCCGTGTTTACTGTCATTCGCAAAATACCCGTTGGGCTTTTGAGGTAAAAAACTTTGAGTATTTCCTGAACAATGTTGTCCACGAATCCACGGGGTTCACGCCTAGGGAATTACATTTTGGGGAAAAAAGTCATTGCTTGCCTTTGCGGTTCCGGGGGCCATCTACCGAGGGTCAAGATATTTTAAATGAAGGCAAGCTCTTTCTAGCACGGGAGACTTTGATGGGGAAAGCAGCTCGTCGCGCGACGGCCTATCCGTCAAGGCCCTATCCGAAATTTGAACCCGGAGCCTTAGTACTCCTCCGCTCAAATCCGGTATCCTCGGCCCTCAATTCGGAGACAAAAAAGATGTTGCTCTTGTTTTCCGGGCCCTATCGAATAAAAAAGGCAGTTAGTTTCGCGACCTATGTTCTCGAGCACACAGATGGAGTGGAACGCGGTACTTTCCACGCTAGCCATCTGAGACCTTTTCATGTCGCGGACAATGGTTAGTCGTCGGTGTCCGGTTTAGTGTTTAAAAGACCCTTTTCCTGCACGTTTTCGTCATGGGTCTTTGGGGGGGCTGATGAAGCAGAACGCCCTGTATAAGCATCGCATTTTCTGAGGAATCAGTGTTTGTGCCAGTTACCTACCTATGATTTGCTATTGCTTTCGTGGTAATCCAATAGATGGAGGAAGAATGTTCATTTGGAAAACTTTAAATATATCGTCCCTTGTTTTTGTGGCGCTAAGGCAAAAAACGCACTTGGTATCGTTTGTTCGAGCTCGACTTTTTGATTTTGTGAGCATTTGTGATTGATGGTAGCTCTTAGTTCCAGCGTGTTGAATATTGCTTTTATATAAAGTGTTGTTTTGCACCGACTTAGTGCCAGGTAAAGTAGTTACTCTTTATATTTTTCATGTATTTTAATGGTGCCTTATGTACATCTTCCAGATTTCATATACATTATATTTAGCCACGTTGGTGGGTGATTGATAAAAATAAAACCCCATACTTTCCGAAACTACTTATTTCGCGACCTGAAACTCCCCCTGAGGATATTCTGTTACAGTATTTATTCTATACACTATTCGATTGAAGGTAATTCTAAAGAACGACTTACTGCATGTCTTTAGTTGAGCGATAATTCTAGTTATATAGATGGAAACGGGCGCTTTGAGGTAATTTTGAACATTTACCCGTAGAGAGAGACTTTTATAAATGAGAGGATACGAAGATTGGCTCAAACTATCTAAATCAATGCTTAAAAGTTCATTGTTGAATTTGTGCAGAAGAGAAGTTATAGCTTTCTTGGAACTATCTAGCAGAAACTGTTGCCAACGATCGACCATTCCGGCAAAAGAGAAGTATTGTTTGACCTGCAATACCCAGTTGTATTTACAGCTACAATTCTCAACATGCAGAGACATGCGCATAGCGTAGGGACTCGCTGGTCTCGTGCAGCCGCCTGACAAAATTGTCGTATTAGGGGCCGTATGAGACCAATGTGGCTTCCAAAAATAAAGCGTCATACTCAACCTTCCAAAAATTCCGGCACATCGAGAAAAAAATATCCATAGTACGTTAGTATCTGATGATTCAGGCAGAAATAGTGTATCGGCCTCTGGAACCGATACTATCATTACTGGAAATATCCGTCGATTGACAAACTACAGTTTGCTGCTTTCATTTCGATCATGACATTGTTAAATTTGTTCTAAAATTGTTCAAAAATTGTTCTTATCTATCATTCGGTTGCCCCCCTACGAGCAACCCTGAGTAGTTTTTAATAGACTTGGGTGAGCAAGGAATGAAGGGAGTCTTACTCTTCAACGTGTGATCCAAAACACATTTATTAGGCCATCGGAAGAATTTTGGAGGTCGTGGTGGGGATCGAACCCATCTACCGGTAATCCAAGGTGGATAGAATATTGACGCTTCAACCACGAGGCCACGCTGGCTGCCTACGGCTCGAAATTTTTGATGTTTTGATAAACAGTGTCTCTCGGTGAAATTATTAGGCAACAAGCTGTCGTAACAATCGCAGAAAAATTCCGGCAAAATAGTATAACTTGTGGTATTACATATGAGAAAAAGTTTGTTTCTTCGCTACAGTACTGATCTGAGAAAGTGTGGAAGTGTTTTCATCCACTCCGTTTCACGTTTCACATTATTTCCCTAGGAATACATTCTAATGTACAGTGCGTCCATAAAGTAACGCATGAATTCATTATTGGCTAAATGAACAATATAATTTTTTAGTGGCGTAACTACTATGACAAGTGACACATGCGTCCCATTGAAACATATTTATGTTTCGGAACAATGGAACATCGGAGTGATTATTGGATTCGATTGGAAGCTCAAGAAATAATCGTAGTTAGTACATAAATTTGAAAGAGAAAAGAAACCTTCAACCAAGAAATTTTATTACAAGCATCCACAGCGTATCCTTTAGAAATTAATGCATTGATTCAGCCTTTGAAAGAAGAGATCGAAGCTCTCAAAGTCATACGAGATTTTGATAATAACTCAATAATTTAAAAAATTACTTTGGCGTCAAATTTCACTAGAGTCGCGATAGCTTTTTTGTTATTCTTGACTGCTTCATATGACAGTAATTGCGTCTTCAGGAAGATTTGCTTCTTCTCTTATCTCTGTAGACTGAGGAGGCTGCTAATATGAACCAAATGAAATTAATAACAAAATAAATAGTAGTTTAAAAACTAAAGAAACACTCTTTTATAGATAGCCAAACCAAAAAGAGTCAGAAAATAAAATAATAAAAGTGTCTTGATGAATACACAACATAGAAAATATTAGCACCTCCGTAATCACTACATTCTATGTTGTGTATTCATTAACACACTTTTATTATTTCATTTTCTACTTATTTTCAGTTTGGCTATCTATCAAAGGGTGTTTCCTCAGTTTTTTAAACTACTATTAATTTTGTATTTTTCAGTTCGACTTACTACACAAGCTTTTTTTGTGTTCCAATATTTATTGTAAATACTCAATTCTGACGGAAGGATCATAATCTCCGACTCCGAAAACCCCCAGATACTGACTTTTTGTAGAATCGGATCATGATCACAAAACCCGTCCGCCATATTGAGTTTTCCAATTTTGGCAAAAGCATCATAAACTCCTACCTCAAAAACCCTCACATGCCAATTTTGAATAGATTCGGATCATAATTACAAAATTCGTCCGCCATATTGGATACGCCATCTTGAATTTTCAAATTTTGACGAAAGAATCATAATCTTTGACCCCTTAAACCACCAGGTACAAATTTTGTACATAGATTGGGATCATAGGTACAGAACTCGTCGGCCATATTGGATCCGTCATCTTGAATTTACCGATATTGACAAAAGAAATATAATCTCCGACCTCGAAAACCCTCATATATCGATTTTGAATCGAATCGGGTCATAAATACAAAACTCGTCCGTCATTTTGAAGCCGCAATTTTGATTTTTGTCCAACAATTATTTAATGATGCATTGCCACCAGAATCGTGTACATCTGCCAAATTTCATAGCAATCGGTCCAAATTAGGTCAAAATCGAGTCCAAAGGAGTCGGTTATATACATACATTCACATACATACTGGTGAAGCTAGTAAAATAGTGTTACTAAAACAGTTCTATTCGGAACCTTCTGATTTATTTGAACATATATCTTTTTTTGTTTCGTTTGTCTTTTTTTTTGATTCGATGTGACAAATGTTCTTAGTTTGGAACTTTTTCTCAATTCGCGGGAATCAATGTTACCAGGTGGCGCTCAGTTTTCATCGTTCCATGTCAAAGCCACGTCAAAACTGGGGGAAAACAAACTCAATCCTCACTCAATCCAGTTAGTGCCATTAGCCTGTGTACGGTGTACTGATAAGAGTGATGTTTTTAAATTTCTTGACATTAATAATTGTCAATATCCGATCGAAAACGCTTATAATGCCTGTTGTAGATGTTCTTTTGGCAGATATTTTGCTCCATTTAGACGAAAAAAGCCGACTGGTAGTGGAAGGAGAAGCAGTTCTCCGTGCTTATCATGTGATTTTGTGTGAGGCAGAACTTCAACAAAAGGCACATTTTTGCACTTTGTCTACAAACTTCGGCGATGAAATTTTCCCCACATGAAGTAAAATTGAAGTTGGGGTCCAGAGGATTCATGCAAAGCAGGACAATTTGGGCATTGTAAACATGTTGTAGCTGTTCTCGAATTGCTTGTCATAATTAGTTTGAATTGTTTGAACTATCTCCAATTCTTCACCCGTTCACTGTTCACTAAACTAATAAAAATGTAATAATGTAAAAAAATTAACCAACTCAATCATCATCACTACCAACAGTGCCAACATTTTATGTCATTGACAAGTTTGACTACAGCTACAGCAAGCTGAATGCAATGTAGTCTATGCACTTTATCCAAAGACAACAGTTTGTTTTCCCCCAGTTTGAAGTTCGTATTATGTAACCTAGATGTCGCCCACTTCGTGAATGAAGTTACACCACTGGTTACTTTATGGACGCACTGTATATTCTATTCCACCCAGTTTACCTGTATCGTGAGGCACGGTCCACCTGACCGCCACCGACTCGTCCGTCAACCTGGCGATGGCCGGCCGACTGGGCGCGATCATCTTCGGCGTCTTCGCCACCTTGGCCGGCTTCCTGGTGGACCCCGGCTTGTGCTTCGGTCGATGGCGCGGCCTCGAAGGCTGCTCGGCCGCGTCCGTCGACGCGATCGGGATGACGCTCACGTATATGCTGGCGTATACGGTTTTGGCGGCGTTGCGAGCGAAGAGTTGCAGGTTGCCGGCGTGGCGTTTTTCGACCCGCGTGAAGTTGATGCGGCTGCCTGCAATAAATCAGTTGATTGACTACTACGACGATTCTAATATTAGGAAGGTCATCAGGTTTGTTAGAGATAGGGTCGATTGAATACACAAGGAGTGGTCAAAGCTGTTGACCAATCAGGTTCCGATTTCTAACAATCTCTATTGTGACGTCAGTGGACATGTCAGGGCATCATTGCTTGTTCATTGTTGGCCCAGTGATGACTGACTGAAGTATTTTCAGTGCATTCCCAATGATGGTTCATCCTTACACAGAGAATTCTGAGGTTACATATAGAAGATATTATTTCACTAATAATAATAATGATAATAATAATAATCACTACAATAAAACTGGCGTATTCAATTGTATATTCACATCTGATCTGGTCAATAAAACCAAGGGTTTACGAATTCTGTTCCTGTTGATTGATATTGTAATTTCTGGAATATCTGGAACGTGGCCAAAACTTGAGAACCTCTCTTCTTCGGTATCTGGAATGAGTTTTTGTGAATTCCAAGTTAGCTATCATTCATAACTGCATATTACCTAGCCTGCTAGAAGAAGATTCCTTTTAGGACTGACACTTCATGGTGAAGGTACTATTATCACGATGGCTGTTCTCGAAGAATATACATACATATATGTATATTTATATATACAGTATGATGCAAATGTATGGAATAAATTCATTTCAAAACAAGACGACTTCCGAAAAAAATCCAAAAAATAGAGTTCAGAACTTTTTTTATTGTGTATTTTTTCAACTAGACGACCCTTCGATGTTCAATTCTCAGTAGCAGACCTCTGCAAGATTCAGTTAACCAAATGATAATCCATTTTAATTGCAATATTCTTATGCAAAATTTTGACTGTTGGATAGACGATCAGTAGACCTTTCAAACGAGGTGTCACATGGCCCCTGCTTGTATTTGAGAAAATCGTCCATTACGTCATTACTTCTACACCAGTGACGTAACATCTCTCATATGAATGTCATGAAATGAGGCTTCAAAAATTAAAACTCACGTGTTTTTGGAATTTCTTCAAATGTCGCCCATTTCTGAAATAATGAATTTATTCCATACCTTTGCATCATACTGTATATGGAAGGGAAATCGTTGCTGACCAGTAGGAATGAAACCGCAGTGTATATTGGGGGTAGCAGCAGTGTAAAAAGAATACTCTTTAAAGTTTATCCAACCTTTCGGAAATGTTTATTTCCATCATCAGGAACAATCTTTAGTGAGGTTGGTTACAACGTTATTAAGAATGCAAAATTGCTTACGTGGACACATAGGAGACTAACATTTGTATAATTACACTCAACAGTTACTTATTTATTCAAAGTTTATTATAATTTTAAAATTTGTTAAAAAAAGGAGGGAAAAAGTTGCAAGTCACATTTCTCACATTCTTCAAATTCTTGGAATTTTATTGGAAAAAAGAATTTGAAGAATGTGAGGAATGTGACTTGCAACATTTCCCTCCTTTTTTTAACAAATTTTAAAATTCTAAATTTACAATAAATAAGTAACTGTTGAGTGTAATTATACAAATGTTAGTCTCCTATGTGTCCACGTAAGCAATTTTGCACAATACGTCACCCTATTTTTTACAATTTTATATTTTTAACAACATTGTAACACTGGCTTCATTTATATATATACACAGCTTAATTCGTTATTTCAATTTGTAGTTCAGTCATTGGGGATCCAAAATAAGGCTTACCTGGAAAAAAGTCCGGAAGTTTTGAAACTTTGTAGGATTATAGTTTTGGGTGTCCAGAACTAAAATTCACAAAATGCACATTCCGGGACATGCCGCCGGCGCCGCCATCTTGTCAAGATGGCGCTCAAAAACGGTTTTTTTAAAATATCTCCAAAACGGTGCGTTTTTGAAAAAAATATGAAGACATAAAAATTTAAGATGAAAAAATTTTCTACAAGAAATGTCCCGAGCATATTTCTGCTAAAGAGAGCCGTTTTGGGCTCAAGAGCTGATTGAATGACAACATATTCTGTTAGTTTCTATAAACTGCCCCTAACTATCCCCATAATATATATGCGTATAAATTCATATTTTATGATAAAACGGGCTATTCAATTTGTTCCTCCTTATATTGGACGATTTTTAGATCAATTATGCGACAAAAATTTTGCATTTGTGACTTGCGATTATTTGGGCGATATAAAAATTGCATTATCGACGAATCTGGCGACTTTGCTCCAGAAGTGTGTGGGTGCAGGATGGTTATGAGTAAATTTCGTACCTATACTAAGTATCCGTAAATATAGGTACCTTCTCGTACTGTAAAACCGCCCATAAATTCATAGAAATTTGAAATTTTGCTTTCTTGTCTTTACCACTCCATCCCAATATGAGTAAATACACAAAATATATATTTCAGATGAGATATTTTTATAAACGGTAAAAACACAAGAACTTTTTCATCAACTAAATTACCTTTCCTAACGAACACAATTTGCCAATCAGTAATTTTAGGAGAAAAACGGACATGAAAAAATTGCGAGACCGTAGGTCAAGTAATTTTGATGTGCTGAATATATGTACTTATTTCAAGAAAAATCTCGTATGCATAGCAAAAAAAATAATTTAGATTCATTAGACTCTTTGAAAGAATAATAACATCACACAAATTGGGCGATATTTTTTGGGCGGTTCATTTTTCAAATTTTGAATAAAGCACTACTTGCTTTTTCATCTTGTAAGTAAGTGCAAGGCGGCTTCTGGTAGAGCCTGCGGATGCACGAAAGCAGGATTGCGATGTTCGATGGTTTGCGGTGTCTGCAACGGGAAAACTTGTGAAAATATCAGCCAAGTGACACTGGACGAATCCGATGAAGAAGACCTCCATTCGCTGCATGATGATTCTTTATCGACTGCAGAAGAAGAATCCGACGAGTTGAAGGAAATTAACATCGATTCTGGAGCTGAGGTAACCAGTTTCCCCGTTGAATATATCGAAATCAACGATCGAGCCAGGTCCGTCTGGCCTTTGCCAAAAATAATTTCAGTACCTACCTGAGTGGATTAGGCCTACAGGGGAAACCACGTTGAAAAAATGCGCCGTGTACTTAACCTCTTGGGTGGTGTGGAAACAAGTACAGCATTTAAAATCGAAATTGATTGATCATAAATTATTAACATGGATTAATTGATGAATTCATCGATTAATTGAATAATGGATATCCACCGTTTCGTGATAAATATTTTTAAAGTCCTTAAATATCAGATTTGGGGACCCCTAATACGACATATTATTTCCGAAACTCGCCACTACAGAAAACTTACGAAACATTTGTAATTTGGTAAGGGCACTTGTGCCTTGACGAGGGTACTTTAGCGAGAATATTTTATAGGAAATATCCTCTGTCAGCAAGCTACAAATATAACGAGGAACCAATTAGATAGCCCGTTTCATTATAAAAGATAAATTTATACGCATATTTGGAGATAGGGGCAGTTTATTGAAATTAACAGAATATGATGTCATTCAATCAGCTCTTGGGCCTAAACGGCTCACTTCAGCAAAAATATACTGGGAACATTTCTTGTAGAAAATTTCTTCATCTTAAATTTGTATGTCCTCATATTTTTTCTAAAAATGCACCGTTTTGGAGATATTTTTAAAAAACCGTTTTTCAGCGCCATCTTGGCAAGATGGCGGCGCCGGCGGCATGTCCTGGAATGTGCATTTTGTGAATTCTATTTCTGGACACCCAAAACTATAATCCTACAAAGTTTCAAAACTTCCGGACTTTTTTCCAGGTAAAAATCCCCAATGACTGGCCTTGATGTGATTTAATAATGACGCACTAAAAATGCACTCATACAACTTTTAGTTCACGTCACATCTCACAATAACAAATGACGGCTCATGCGCAAAAGGATAGAACAACAAAATAAAAGACCTAGTGAAAACACATCAGGTATCGATTGTCGAAAAAATGCTGTCAATAAAATGCATCTGTTAGGCTGCTGATGGTCCATTGTCATTTCATTGATGACTTAATGACATTGAGGAACCTATATCCTTTATTCATCATTCAACCAGTACTGATCCAGTGATCTTTGTAAAATGGATTAAACTCATTGATTCCCTAATGCCGTAGAAGTAGTGTAATCCTGATCCTTACTACACTATTGAACAAACAGCACCGAAGAATACTGCCAGCAGTATGCCATCGATCAAATCAATGGGACATTGAATCGCCATCTATGTCGTGTTTGCTGGATACCAAAAACTGTTCTAAAATTGTTCTTATCCATCATTCGGTTACCCCCTCACGAGCAACCCTCAGAAGTCTTCGAGAGACTTGTGCGAGCAAGGAATGACGGGGGTCTTACCTTTTAACGTGTGATCCCAAACACTTAAATACTAAACTACACCTATACACTTACCCGACACCTCCACCAAACTGTCGTTCAGCACGGAGAACCCGTTAAGGAACCACGACAACCTGGGCGCGGGTACCCCTTTCACCGAGCATGCCAAATCGAGGTACTCCCCCTGCTTCGGGTCCGTCTCGTTGGTCGGGCAGTCGATGGTAGGCTCCTCGTTGTAGGTGAGCTCTATGCGGTGGGAGGCGGTACCATAAGCGTTGGTGAAGTTGCAGAAGTACGTGCCGTCGTCCGTCGAGGACACATTCTTCAACAATAATAATAATAATAATTTTATTTACCAAAACATATACAATGTAAATAAATATCAATAGTAATAAATGAAGTGTAAGGTAAAGTAGAGGTGGTATATCCCAAAAAAGCTCTCGAGGAGCTTGTCGAAGGGAAATTCCTATTTTAATGATGAAAATTTCGTGTGGTGCTAGGACCATAAACTTACATGGATAAACAATTTACATATATATAAATACATATACACATACATACACATATAGACATGCGTGAGTTTTACATGACAAAATCATTATTCTTATTTTTTCTATACCATTAAAAAATGTACTCATGCGTACACATGCCGAATCAAATATTATTAGGATACGTTGATAATGTAATAGATAAAAGTATAAAATTTTAGTATGAAAAATCTGTAAGCCGTAAATAGTAAATATATATTGTGCAAAATAGATAATGGATACATTGAGAGAAGAATAATTTTAAAAGACTTGGTATCAGGGATCAATGAGGTTGTGGAATACGTTTCTGTTCATGGACAAAATCCAAGCTTTCACCTACTTTTTATATAGGTGGCACACCACAAGTAACTGTAATTTCGTCGCTCATTTTGTCATTTATCAAAACTTGCTGCTTTCGGTCGAGGAGATAACACTCAAATAATTCTCTCTCATAATAATTGTAATAACACTCTAGCATAGACTAGAGTTCCTAAATGTTCTTGACACTGCTGTTTTGACATTTTTTGAAATACAAAAAACGTCAAAATCAGCAGTGTCAATAAGTACATTTAGGAACTCTAGTATAGACAAGTTTCAAATATCTCACCGGTAAAAGAAACGGCCACTAAAAAAATTTCCAGAATTGTTCACCCTCTAACGTTTTTAATTCTTGTCCGATTCATGTGAAATTTCGATCTCATCGTAGATTTTTGTTCCGGAATGTCTTGATCTTTATACAGGAAAAGATCAAAGTCCCTATTTCACCCTTCATTTCTTAGCGCCCTGTGGCAAAATTGAGTGGTTGAACTTGGTTTCGTTATGCTTCGAATTGAAGTGTGATCCTTTCTTAACACAATTATTTTTGAATCACGTGAATATCTAATTTTTTAGAGAAGATACAAGTGTTTCACGAAAGTATGGCATTTTTCAAATTTTATCAACACTCATATTAACAATAATCAGAACCTACATAAACTTATTGATTAACAACTTGAAGAATTGATATCACATATTCCTACCTCATTTTCTTAGCACTTATAGAAAAAATCTTAATTACGAAAACAAACAAAACTTTTTAGAAAGTATGGAATTTTTAAATTTTTATCAACAATAATTTAAAACTTATAGAGCATCTTGGGGATGAACTCCAGAGGCTCATTCGCCTTAGTTCGGCTATGTCAGAGACTCGTCAAGAGCACAGTTTTCAAGAGCTTCGATTTGCCTTTCAAGGAGATTTTTAGGCCATCCTTCAAGACTACTGTAGAAATTTGATCAGCTGAGCAAGTCGCGACTTGAGTCACGACGGCGCAGGTGTGAACGGCGATATCCTATTATTCATTATTATTTGATATCATATTCTAGTCCAGTCATTATAGACTTTGACCCGTGAATAATTGTTTAGTGTTTTTTTTTTCATAGGTGTCTCGGGGGGGTCACTGGGAGAGTGAATTCAAAATGGCGACCAAATCAAGCTTTTGCGTATGTTCGAAAACTGTTTTTTTTTGTTAAAAAACTTGAATAACTCGGCCATTTTTGATTCTACAGAAAAAGTTTGGGGACGAAAATTGTAGTAAATTTGGTTCTCTACAAGTTTGGTCCCCACAATTTTCCTGATAGGATCGGTATTTTGTAAATTAAACCTGAAAAAAGCGACAAATTCGAAATATTTTCATTATCTCGTTTATTTTCAACTTTACGGCATAAATGAAGAGGACTAAACTTGTGGAGAATCAAATTCTGAACAATTTTGATTACTACGGTTTTGTTCCAAAAATGGATATTTTGGGAATTAAACCTAAAAAACGCGACAAATTCAAAAGATTATCATTATCTCCAATGCTTCGCATTTTACGGCATAAATGGAGAGGTTATTCCGCGCAGGTAGCTTGTCTGTCATGTCGGTGTGAAAAAATGGTTCCGATACTATTTTTTTACCAAATTTGTCCAAAATTTGATTCTCTACGAGTTTGTTTCTTCTCATTTATGGTGTAAAGTTGAGAATAAACGAGATAATGATGATATTTCGAATGAGTCGTTTTTTTAGGTTTAATTCCGAAAATATCGATTTTCGGAAAAACAGGTGAAGACAAAATTTGTCCAAAATTTGATTCTCTACAAGTTTGTTTCTGTTCATTTATGCCGTAAAGTTGAAAATAAACGAGATAATGAAAATATTTCGAGTTTGTCGCTTTTTTCAGGTTTAAATTTACAAAATATCGATCCTATCAGAAATATTGTAAGGACCGAACTTGTAGAGAACTAAATTTACTACAATTTTTGTTCCCAAACTTTTTCTGTAGAATCAAAAATGGCCGAGTTATTCAAGAAAAACCGTTTTTTAACAAAAAAAACAGTTTTCGAACATACGCAAAAGCTTGATTTGGTCGCCATTTTGAATTTACACTCCCAGTGACCCCCCCGAGACACCTATGAAAAAAAAACACTAAAAAATTATTCACAGGTAAGGTCCTTTATTTGGATATAATGACTGCACTATTCATGAATCATGGCAAGAACATAAGATAGTCGGTTCACACAGTGTGTTCAAGTGGTTGGGTTCATTGAAAATGTCATATTTCGACATGTAAAAAAATAATCATATGTTGTATCCCATAATAAATAACTATTTGAAACCAACAACAAGTAATTATGAATTGGCAGATCCATATACTATCACACGAAATATTACTAAAACGTGAATTTATTGCCACTAAATCGTTGAAACAATTCGGACGACTTTTCAGAATGTTTGTGTTTGTTTTTATTACTTTGGTAAGGCATCCGAAGAATGCTTCGATGTCAAATTATTTATATCAAAAATTCATCTAACATCCTTGATTATAAGTGTGAATACTCAAAGCTAACATGGAGTTCTTACTGATAAAAAATCAATATTGGGTCAGAAATCAATGTATTTTCTAGACTGTAAAAATGTATTCGCAGTTAAACGGGTCTTGGGATTTAATATCACTTCATCACTTATTTGAAGAGATTCCGTTCAAAAAATGGAGGTGTCTGATTGGTCTACTTCATGATGAGGAAGATAATCACCTTTATTTTCAAGCCGCCGCTTAGCATCTCAATGCGGTCCGAGGGTAGCTGGGCATTTTTCTTGAACCAGATGACTTTGGGCACTGGGTTGCCTATGGCGGCGCATTCCAATAATACTGTATCGCCTGCAAATGAAAGATTTTACTCCACAACCGTTCAAATTACACTGTTATATCAACAGGTTACATCGTTTTGATAAACATTTTCAGGAAAAGCGAAAAATACTACGTACTTATCTACCTAATATTCCTATGCCGAACAACTAAAATATATCAATCACGAGAGTTCTCGAGAAACAAACTGACCAACATTCAACAATCCATGAATTTGCTAGAGTAAAAAGACTCAGTTATTCGTCTTTATTTGACTAACAATGATTGATTTGACACGTTGCAATCTGGAATAGAAAATTTATCCGGCCTAAAGAAATATGTAGATCACCTGCCAATTAGAGTCACTGGATGGTATTAGTTAGGGTCCCTTGATGGAAATTGACGTAAAAGTCATCTTAACAGGGTACGGACAGATCATAGCTGCATTCTTTTTTAATGATCTAGAGACTTTAGTTTTGTCTACTGACAATGCTGTCACGTCACGTCCATGGGCGCTACAGAAAATCATTAAAAATTTTAATAATAGGTATGTACAGGGTATTTACTTGTTGAGGAAGATCATATGGGGATCGAGTTTTGTAATTATGATCCGATTCTATTCAAAATTGGTATCTGGTGGTTTTCGGGGTGAAAATTGTAAAATTCAGGATGACGGATCGAATATGGCGAAAGACATTTCTAATTATGATCTGATTCTATTTAAAGTTTGGTATCTAGGGGTTTTCGGGGTTGAACTTCATGATTTTTTATCAAAATTGGGATATTCGAGATGGCGGATCCAATATGGCGAACGAGCTTTGTATAATAAATAGTTGTTTGAAAAATCCATTGAACACGCGTTCGTAGATACTTAGTCGAATTAATAAGAAGTAGAGCATAAATAGTAGTTCAAAAAACTGAAGGGATAGATTGCCGAGCTGAAAACGAGTATAAAATGAATAGTATCTTGAAAAATTGAAGAATTTGAAATTGATCCTTAGTTTTAGATCCGAGCAGCACATCGTTTTGCCTTCAAGGTCCTTAATATAACCCACGTACAATCAGGCGCTACTAGGGAAATTGAAAAGAAAAAGAGCAGAATATATGTTTTATTTTTATTCACTCAAACCATTGTAATATAGGAAATAGAACAGGACAGAAGCTGTGACCGATACCATATAGTGACTCTACTACCAATGAATTCGACAAACGAGAGAGAGAGAGAGAGAGAGACAACAAGCAGCTACTAGCTGACAGTGCTGATGGTTGTGTGAAGATATATTTGTCTTTGCTGCACATGCAGCCATACCGATGGTCCTTATTTCTCTTTTTTACGTGACGTGACTTTCAATCGAAGCGAATGTACGAGTATATTTGATAGTTACCTACCGGGTCTTCAACAATGATTCAACACCACGTGACCAAAATGTGTTTGCAACCAACACTGCGAAGTTTGTGAATAAATAACTTGAAACAAACAACTGCTATCAAAATAAAACATAGGCGTTATGGGATATTTGCATTAAAATTGTTCCCGGCAGCTTTGAAGTGAATATGTCCACGTTCCATCAGGATTACGAGTGCCACTTCTGAAATGTGCCATCAGTGAGAACGTGAGAAGGCATCTATTTCACCGGAAAAGAAAAATATGTTCAATCCTGAATGGAAAATAAGGACATGCTGAACAATAAAAAAAAAGAGGTTAATTATTGGTCTTACCTTCTCACAACAATGAATTGGAAATGTAGTTTTGATAAAAACTGTTTTTCGCAAAGTAATAATTGTGAGTGAACTAATCAAATGCAAAAAAAATAGAATAAAATCAAGAACCTTATAAACTATCAACAAACCCAGGAGAAAAGACAACAAAGTGCTACTGGGTGCTAATGAGCTACAGCTGTGCAGTATACATTTCGAAAACACAAAATTCAAGAGACAGATTCGCAATCCAACTTTCCTGTTTTTAGTTTTCGTAAACAAGGCAAGCTATTGGCTGCTATGACGGTTGACAAGTTAACGGGCCAATCAAATTGAGAAGGACGTGACCCACAGAACGTAAACACTGGAAACTACAGCCATGAATGATCCAAGGTGCAAATATGGCATATATGATGATGTTACCTGAGTAAACATAATGTGTGGTTGCATACGAGTGTGGTTGCATACGAGTGTGGTTGCATACGAGTATGGTCACGTGGTGTTTAATCATTGTTGAATACCCGGTACTTGCTCTGAGCTTCCAGCAGCAGTACTGATCCGTTTGACTCACCTTTCAGAACGCTATACGTTTTCCTGGGCTCGACTATGAAATAAGGCGCTCTCATAGGAGGGTAGGTCACCACCTGCAAGTTCAAGCGGGTGCTCGAACTCACGTACTTCATAGTGTTGGTCGCCTTGCAGGTATACACCCCTGAATCTTTGGTACTCACGTTAGGCAGTACCAATGACTTGACCTGCAATGAAATTAAATAATAAATTCACAAAAAAAACATGATGAACTCAATATATGTTTGCTCGTTTGTCAAAATATCAGGTAAAAGGTGAGGTTTCAAACGAAGATATTATGGCCAGTTGCACGAACCTCTCTGTCAACTCTCCTATAACTAATAATATAAATAAATGAATCAAACAATAAACGATAGATTATTCCAGATTTCTTGGGATTTTCTCTCCTCGATTAACCTACAGAGAGTATTGAATAAACGATAGATATTTACGTTAGCAGTTAGGAAACGTATAATTTTGTGACGATGAGATTTGGCGGGACAAAGCGAAGCGAGATCCCGCTAAAACAAAGATACACAAAATAAGTTTTCTAACGTGTTACGTGAAATATTATTTCTAATTTTTATGTAAAATTTCGCTTGAACAGAAATAATGACCAGTTCTAGCGATTATGTACCAAATAATCCGTCAAAAAATCACTCTCTGCGATTTATCTTAGGTCTTCGACTGTGTCCTCATTGACAAACTCAGCTACTATGGAATTCGAGGTGTAACTCTCACCCTCATTGAATTATATTTAATGAATCGTCTTCAAGCTGTTTATTTCAACAACAAACTATATCTGAATTCAGAGATGTGAGATTTGGTGTTCCACCAGGTTCTGTCTTGGGCCCTTTACTGTTCATAATCTACATCAATGACCTATGTTTGTATATGACTCCATACGATAATATCCTATCCGCAGATGACACCACATTCATTCATTCTCAAGAAGAATATAATAATAATAACATTTATTGATCCCAGGAAACATACAATGTTTATAGAAGTAGAAAAAGTATAATAAATAAATCAAATATGCAATACAATGAAAGATGAACAGTTCAATCAAAATCAATTGATAAAAGGAGAGAGTTAAATTGATAAAATATATTTCATCAGTTCACACTCAAATTTTGTGACGAACCAAATAGATTTTATTCTGTTGGGTAGACTATTATAAATTATACTTCACAACCACGTCCTCCTAGACCAACATGTAGTTACGCCTCTGGTGGAACACGAGTCACTATTTTAAAGCTGCAAAAAACCTGTGTTTACCTGAATGCCATATCGCCCGATAATTACTCATTACGTTTTCCAGTGAAACACGGGTCACATCGAATAAATTAATTCTCGTGTTGTGTGTTGAGTGATCCAGGGTCCAATAGATGCGTTTACGCTGTCATGGTCAAACATCTGCTTTTATGCGTTTCCACCTTTTCCTTCAATTCCGAGGGTTCTGAGCAAAATAATTTCAGATGGTGCCTTGGTACCCACTTTTTTTTCAAACTTCTCATTACAGAACCACTCTACTTCAGGCCTAACACTGAACTCCTTTTATCTCCTTTCAGGGACAGCCACCCCATTTGGCAAAAGATTACCCTGGTGGCCGGGAGATTGTCAGGGAAGCCTTTAAAATAAAAAACGTCCCTCTAGAATTGATTCCTATTTATGAGTCTTCAATAAGCTCAGGCACCATGGCACAATATAATCATCTTGCAATTCATCAGGAACGTCGGCAATATCTAACGAGGCATGGACTGGGTTTCTTACTACTGCAGCTTCTTGGTCAGACAGCTTGGAAAAATAACGTTGAATTTCATTTTCAAGGGTTTTGAGGTGATAATCAATTTCCTCTTCTAGATCCCCCGCAATTCCTGCCTCTGATACTTGAACCATGATGCTCAGGTGTTCAAACATTTCAAACAGTTTCCAATCTTGGACACAAATGCTTGGAGATTATCTTTAAAATAGATGAGGTGCAAGTCCTTTCCCTGAAGTTTCAGATTCAACTTGTTCAACTGACCGAAGATGTCCGATAAGTAAGCAACTATTTGTAACCAAGCTGGGTTATTGAGCTGTTCCATAAAATCTGATCCCTCTTGCATTTCCATTCTGGAAGCCTCTAGAGTCTAGAAGCTTCCAGAATGTACTAAAATATTCTATAATGTTCGAAAATCTTCGAAAATGTTCTAGAATCTCCTAGAACGCTCGAAATTGTTCAAGAATATTCTAGAATGTTCCAAGAGGTTATAGAATGTACTCACTTCGCTATAAGGCGCCGACACAGTCTCCTCTCCCTCCCCCTTGTAGTACTCGACGAAGGCAGGCGGATTGGAGGCGGGCGGCGGCAGGCATCGCCACAGCACCGTGTTGCCCGCCGCGACGACGGCGTCGACGGGCGGCTGGCGAGGGAAGGCGGCCAGGACGGCGACGGTGACGCGCCATGGCACCGACGCCACCGCCAAGGCGCCGTAATAGGCCAGGCACTGGTAGTCGCCGGCGCTGCTGGTGCCGTTCACCTATAAGAAGCGGAAGTGTACGGTGAGATGCTAATGAACAGGGTGATTCTTGGATGTATGATAAATAATTTATATTCATCATACAGGACGTGGAAAGAAATTGTGAATTGAGAAAACCTAATCACGAATCTGCGATAGAGGTCTATAAAATAACAAGTTTCCATCGTTCAAGTTATATTTGAACCCCTCGATTGGGTGGAAGTATTGAAAAGGAATATTCTCAGATATATTCATGAACACAAATATAATGGATACACAGGGTGTCCCGAAATTAGCCTGCCAAAGTTCACTAGCGGCTTTAACTACCAAAAATAGAAAGAAAACTTTCAATGAACATGAGTCGAGAAATGTCTCCTAAGGGAGCTATTGCTCCCCGAAAAGGGGCTCCTGAAGATGATATTTTTTGAGTACTTTCGAAACTCCATGTAATAAAAAGATGCAATTTGGTACATGAACTAAAATTTCCATGCCCAATGCAGTGAAAATTAAATCATTTCAAAATTTCAATCAGGAGTGTATAATAAACGTGGGACTACATTAAATATTGTTCAAAATTTTTTGAATGCATACTTTTCGATAATTTAACCTCGGGTTATGAAATTTCGCACCTCTATACAAGAAAAAGGTACTCCTGTTTCGTGACGATCAGATGTATTATTATCGAGTAAGAGCAATTTAAAAATATTGTTACATCTCAGATATCATGCATAACATTGCGATGAGGCGTAGTGGAAATGGAATAAAAAGCACAAAAATTGAAATGGTTTTTTCATCATCATTTTTTTATTCTTCGCGCTTTAATGAGATTGGTTCATTTGGAGAAGAAGTTCTATGTTTCACACGGCACCAAATGTAGATTGACAGCCGCGGCTGATAGTTGATAGGAATTCAGCCAACTAAAAAAAATAACTATTTGACAAATCGGAAATTAGGTCTGACACTCATAACCTTGTTATTGTCGTTGTTCAGAAATATCAAAATCGAAAGTGACGTTTGCTTTGGCGGTCGTTATTGCTATGGGTAACGGCTGTGAAATTCAACTTCGCGTCGAGAACGCAAAATACACAAGTGATGATCCTAATATAAACAATGTACTATATATATGTTTACTAATTTACTACGATAGTCAGTGCGTAGAAATTTGAGCTCAGTTCGAAAATTATACACAGCAAACGCAGCATAGATTTGCAGCAGATGTAGTGCGATAGCCGCATGCGTTAGCGTTAGTCGCATGCGTCAGTCGCAGTGGTTCAGCCGCACGCATGAGCCGCACGTGTCAGCCCTTCAACATAATTTCCTCACCTGCAACGTCAACGCTGACTTCTTGCGACCAGAAGCGAAGGACCGATGCGGCGGCAGAAGCTCGTACGTCCCGTTGGACAAGTCAATGTAGGCGTCGGCGTTATAGGGCTCATCGGTAGGATAGAACTTCCATTGGAACTTGTCGGGCTCGATGTCCATTTCGCAGGTGAGCATTGTCTCGAAGCCGATCGGCAGTGATATGGGTTCCGGCACGGATACCATGTACATGGTGTCTGGAAATCGTAAGAGCGCAGATGGTAATTAACCGGAATAAATATTAAGCTGCCCAACAATAATAACAATCGAAACGTAGTGAGCTTTTACCAAATTTGAATTATTGTGTTAATCTCTGGTATATAGGTGAATAAAGAGACCACTCTCAGTGAGGACGAAAGAACGATATGAAGAAAAGACATATCACAATTATCTGAATATATCGTTACTTAAAATGGATATCATAGGCTATGTTCGTGTCAGTAGTGCCACTGACACTGTTGACATTTGTTTTATTCGGCAAAGTACTTCCCGGACTAGGCCGGGAAGTATCACATCGTTGTTGTCACTGTAACTATAAAAATCTTGGTAGATATGGTTTTGATAAATGCAGATAATAGTTACCATAGCAGCGAAATTTCGGCTGACAGCTATTTGACATGAAATTAGTTGACATTTTGATTTTAGAAAATTTGTTTGCAATTATCGCAATAAACTATCGAAAGCAGCTGCGATAGTGAGTTTGAAAATGTCCATACGAAATTTCCAATTTAATAGTTAGTAGGTAGGTATAGGTATTCTGTTCAAATTTCAGTATTTGATACAAATGAGAACTAATAAAGAAGAAATTGTATTTTACAAAGAAATATGATATGGAAATGTGTCTCATTGATTTGTTATTCTACATGGTTGCCGAAAAAATAGTGTACGCAACACGTCAAAAAACAATTTTTTTGGACTCTCAGACTTCCAGGACCTGCCTACGGCCCGGCCTAGAATTTTGTCTACCCCTAATAGCACACAATGTCCTAGGGACGTCCCTATTTGGTACAATTCACGTCCGAATGTCCCGGACCAAAAATAAGTGTCCTTGGGACGTCCCATCCCGTACATCTCTTGCAATGTCCGAGCAAGGACGTCCACGGGATGACCCAGCTGGTACATCATTTCAAATGTCCTAGAAATAGCATCCCTTTGACGTCCCACGTGGTACATATTGTAGAATGTCCATGCAAAGACGTCATTGGCATGTCCCTGATGGGATATGATTTTATACGTTCCTTTAGGGACACCCATCGGATGTCCCGAGTAGTACATATACTGGCATGACTTCAGATCCTATATAATGTACCTTCTATACAATCATGAAATGACCCTGATGGTACATTCCTTCAAATATCTCTGCACAGGCGCCCTTAATATTTGCAGGATCGTATAACAATCGAAATGTCCCTTAGGGACGTCCTTCGAATGTCAGTCGGATGTCCCAATAGGTACATAAACTGTACTCTTCCAATGTTCTAGAAATAACGTCCTATTGACGTCCGAGTCGGTACTTTCAAAATGTTGTCCCTGTGAGGACGTTAACTTACACCTCGCCGACGAATGATTGCTCGTAGGCTATAAGTACTCCCCTCGTCGATGTCCTTCACATAAGTCCATTGGACATCCTTGAGACACTTTTTGGAGACCTTTCTACGGACCATCAACTCAAGTGGATGTCCTAATCAGTTATGCAACAAATGGTCCTAAAGGGACCCAGACAAATTCAAATTTGAGAATGATTCGTACGTCCCTGGGACATCCTATGGACATCCAATTGATATCCCTCAGCGTTGCTGATAGGTTGTCCTATGGATGTCCTAAGGACGTCCTCTGTAGTGCTTGATGAGGAATACTGTAGGATTAAGGTATGCGATAGTTGTCCCAGGGTCGTCCCTCAAGGACGTCCCTGGTTGGTCCTCAAGTGGGACATTTGTGCGTCCCACAGACGTCCAATGGACGTCCACGGTACCAAATTCGAACGTCCTATGGATGTCCTGAATGTCCCGACAGGACGTCCTAAGGATATCCATGGAACATAAGTGTGTTATTAGGGACTCGTCCAATAAAACAGTATTTTCTGGACTTGTTACGTGAATTATTATTTTTATTTATCATTATAATAGTTCAGTTTTTACAGTGAGATTACTTCTGCTGAAATTCAGAACAAATTCTACAGCAGTGAACTGTCACTACTACGTTATTAACTGTCTATTTTTTTCTTGATTATAATATGTTTGGAATAAAACGAATAAAACTGTGACAGGGAATTTTCAAAGCAGACAAACAAGCATCAAAACTTCAATATTTAAAATTCTCCTCACACTTTCACAGAATTTTTTTAAAAACTATAAATTTCAAGCAAAAACGAAAGTTTCACAACACATTTCATTCTTTCGAAAATAATTACTTCGCAACGCATAAATTTCACGAATAGTAAGACTCACATTTTCAATGCTTCAGACCAATGGAAATCAACATGTTCTTTCATTTCCAGGCCTGGATTTCGTCCTTTCATTTTCTGTGGAGGGTTGAAATCACCATGTAGATCTTTTCCGAATCATAGTGGATCTGTTTAGATGTTAATAGTCATCGATTCAAATAATTCGATATAGTCGAACAGAAAATAAAGGTTTACTCACAATTATTTTTCAAAAGCTATACTGACAAAGGCGGACAATAATTCTAGTACGGAAAATAAATTCCAAATTAACTGAATAAAACAAATCGAATAGATAAAACTGTGAATTGAAATCCTAAAATTATTTATAGCGATGGCCATCAACATTTCCACATATATACCTCATCCACTGATTCGAAAAAGTTCTACAGGGTGATTATTTTCCTCCACTCAAAAGATGTTTTTGCCAAATCTCATAATTTACCCTATACATTGGAAAAGAAGTGAAGAAGACACTTTCTGATGGACATTCGGTATTCCCCTCAAGGGCCCCTATTCGGGGTAGGAGTATGTACAGTTCCTCATGACTCACCCTGTATATGATTCAATCAATCAAAGCTTGATCAATCATTAGGCTTTACTATGGACTGAACAAGCGGCTCTAGGCAAAGGTCTTCTATTTTGTGAATCTCTATCAACTTTCAGAATCGATGTACAAAAATCAGGGTTATATACTCACTGTAGAAAAATATCGAATTCAAATAATATGTCAATTATTTCTCACCTGAAGACACAAACTCCATGAACACCACCATAATCAACACAGCGATGGCGACAATATGGGCACCCTCCATGATTCTGCATCCCTGAAACAAGAACAAAACCTTTTCAACATATCTCTACAGGGCGTGTTCCAATCCCCTCTACATCGTGACCAAAAGATATCATTTCCGGTATATGAACACATAATACACCCTTATTCTTATATTAGTTTCTCTGATTTCGAAAACTGATAAAAGTCACCGCCAGCTTAGAAAAAAATTGACAAAAAGGAACCGGAAAAACTCCCTTTTCAGCGATTTGTATGAGGGGATGTCAGATAAAGTCGAATGAATGTCACCGACTCGTTTTATATGGCTTCAAGTATTTCCTTTTCACCTCATCCTGTATAGGGTTACCTTCAGGTTATACCGCGAACTTGTACTGCGAAATAATACTACACAAGGGTTAAGTGGATGGTGGATGATTTCAGCGAAAAAGAAAGGTTCGATGATTCACAATCGATAGGTACACAAAAATGGTGTGTAATACAAGATTGAATGAAATTCTATAACCAATTTTCGTCTACTCATATTAGAGCTGTATACTGGTGAGTTCTGTTCCCCGCCATTCATGGGCTTTCTATCTATCTAATTTTGTTCCCGTGTTTTTTCTGAAACGGAAAAAAGATTGACGAATCATCTCTGTTGACTGGTTATAAAATGTCACTTTTCATAATAGTATATTATGTAACAAGTTTTATAACCTGGTTATAAACGTCCTTTTAGTAACGAGTAGTTTAAGCACGAGCGGAGCAGAGCGGAGCGAGTGTTTAATAAACGAGTGTCTAGAAGAGTTTATAAACGCGTTACATATTATGTTTTTTTTTACGAACTCCGAAAATAACATTAACATACCTGCAATTCCTGCTAACCTACAAAATAATTCGAAAGGAATGGGAATTGAGAACATAATACATGCAACTGCATGCAACCAGCGAGACACGTATAAGTGATATTGGTTGTAGATGTGTCCAGTCCATTGGTTACTAACCTTTGTTTCACGTTTATTGTCATGCTCAGCGCAGAATAAATAAATTGTTCTCAAAGATGGATGCTCCATTTTTACACTTCTTGGAGATATGCAAGTACCAGAACATTCTCTTCGGTTTCACTTTCGTCTACTTTTCGCATATATTTTCAATGATGAATTCTGATACAAATAACGAATATTGTTGGAATAATTCTGATACAAAATTCGAAAATAACAGTTGACAGTTAATACAATTGACAGGCCAGACATGTCTCACATTACTGAAGCTGTGTTTAATGAACTGCGTTGCCATGGTAATGTTTTCAAGAAATCGTGTTGCCATGGTAACGTATATTTAATATTTTGAATAAATCACAGATCGACAATCCGTGATTAATCGATCATTTAGCGTGGTACATATCCGTACGCTAAATGCCATTTTAGTTATGTGAGTAGAAAAATTACTTTTTTCCAGGATATATACTAGGTGAGTCATCAGCAACCTTCTCGATATCATTATTGAATATCCGTTTGGATGTTCTATAGGTTCTGAATTATTGTTTTTTCCATATTTTCCTAATCTCTCAAAAAGAACATATTAACGTGATTCAAGAACCATTGTGTTACGAATAGATGAAAAAAGAATACACTTCAATTCAAAACATGATGAAGCAGGCGGTTTTAGGATGGTTCTGAGTTATTGTTAATAAAAATAAAAAAAAAAAACATACTTTCTTAAAACACTTGTATCTTATCTTAAAAAGTGTTTATCGACGTGAATCAAAAACCATTATGTTGAGAAGGGATCACACTTCAATCTAAAACATAATGAACTCAAATTCAAATACTCACCTCTCCTACAGGGCGTTTGGAAGTTAAGGGTCAAAGAGTAACTGTTGTTTTTCCCTGTATAATGATCAAGCCATCAGCTTTTCTCAGAACCTGATATCCAGGCTAACATTCCGAAACATAAATATACGATTCACAAAAATCGGAGAAGAATTAAAAATGCTACAGGGCGAATAATTTGGCTAAATGTTTTGGTGGCCATTTTTTTGCCGGTGAGTGTATATTGACAATTCAGATATTTTAGAAAGTTCTTTTCACTAGACTTTTTGGGATTTTCACTTCTCGTTTCTATGACTCAAAATTTGAATTAATTCAAAATAAGTATGTGTAGTACAGGACAAAACACAACAGAAATTACTGGCATCACCAAATAATGGGATTTTAGGGATGACAAAAAAGTAAATTCATGAAAATTCCATCAACAACCAATTCCATCGAAGCATTGCACAATGCACTTCTCATTCCGAACTGGCATTGTCACTTCCAAATGGCTCGAAAGAAAAAGTTGGTCGTTCCACCATAATAATATTTATACCTATATTATCGACTTCGATATTACTCAATCAGATTTGCTGCTTGACCGACCGCATGGTTTCTCGTGGTTTCCCGTTAAATATTTTTTTCACAACTCTAACAATCGTATAGTATTACAAGCACATGTTTGCACCTCTATAGTTTCGTTCCATTCATTAATCAGAATCGCGGCGTGCGTAGGAAAAAGTTGAAAGTGAAACAGCGACCCAGCCTCCTTAGAGTTAACGTGTAGGTTTATACTCAGAGTAAGCGCAATAGGCATAAAAGAAATGAGGTAAAATTACAAGGCTGGAAGGTTATTATGATTATTATAGGATATCGGTGGGTGGTGAATTATTGTTTACTTTATGTTGTAATAACATGTCCCGGATCATTATTCTAGAGATTTCTGAAAGATAACGAGCAACAAAGATTCCGTATCATAGTAATACCACTGATGGAAAGTTCTGGTGAATTTCGATGCCTATTGATGTTGCCTACCTACTACAAGTATGTTTTCATAAAAATAATTAGTTATGTATCTAGTACTTGGGTATCTCTATGTAGTTGTCTCTATAATATATCAATAACAAGAACATTCGCTAGAACCCAAGGATAACTAGAACCTACGACCTACGTGAATTATTATGTCGAACTGGGGAGTGCTCTATACAGGGCGTCCCAAAACTACTGCTACACAGAGCTACCACGTATAGTAGAGGTCAAAATAAGTTGATTGGACCCAATTTATTTATGTGCCAAAATGTACCATTTGTCCGTGAGAAGGGTTCAGAGTTCACATGAAAAAACACATTTTTTTAGAGGACCACTTTGCTTTCTTTCAGGTTTCTTCGATTACCAAGAGAAAAGTAAACCTTATGTGAACTTTAAACCCTTCCCACGGACAAACGGTACATTTTGGCACATAAATAAATTGGGTCCAATCAACTCATTTTGACCTCCTCTACACGTGGTAGCTCTGTGTCCCAGCAATTTAGGGACACCCTGTATACTGTATTTCCTGTGATCACCTGCAAAATTTCAACGGAAAAGTCGAGGGAAAAGTGATTTATTCCGAAATTCCTGAAATTACAATGGAAATAGGCCTCCAAACAAACGAACTATAGAAAAAATGAACTGCAGACTACAGGAATTTCGGAAATTTCTGTTACTTTCCTTTGAACTTTCAATTTTCCTGTTCAAAATCTATTCATTGAAATATTATCAGAATATCCCAATTATTGCACACCAAGTATTCAAGAAGAGTGTTGCAAAAACAAACGAGCTTAGATTCTCCCGTTTCCCAACGGATTGTTCTGCCTATACAAATTATTTTTTTCATCCATCTTGTTTTCATCTCTTGGACCGCACGAAAGAAAATCACTATAATGTTCGAAGAACATCGTACTCATCTCTAGAGAGGATAGGGAGGGGATGTAGGTATTGAAATTTTCTCAAACTTTTGAAGGTTATAAGTTTTTCGGAATACTGCAATTGGCAAATCAATGATGAGATCCATCACACATTTCAGTTTGTGCCTTGAAACCCGAATAACCCTGTATATATTGCTGTGCTGTACCCAACTGTCCAAGTGTTCTCAGCATGTGCACAGTAAGTAACAATCGTAATATCATAGATGCATAATACCTAAAGAATCACTACGTAAAATTAGCAAAAAAAACATTCTTTGATATGAATGACCGTTTTACCTCCATCACAATGGATAGGTTGAAAGAAATACTTAATCAATTAAGAGACTGCCAATACAATAAATATGACAGGTAAAAAACATATGCCATAAAAGGAATCCGTTGAAACGAAAATGAGTCAATGAAATGTAATGATCCATTGAGCTATCGACTATTATATCTGAAAAAAGTGAATAATTACTTGTGAAACTATAATAACCTGATAGTTGATACATATTTTCCAGAGATAGCGGCACATTCTCAGACATGATAATTGCAATTTGAGACGATTTACGAGTTGGTTTTTGCAAAATGCCGTCAGACTAGTGGTCGTTAATTCTGGAAATAGGTAGCAATACATTGTATATTAATTATTTTATAATTTAATAATATTGTAATAATATACACTGTAAAATAACAAATGTCGTCTTGAGAAAACAGTCGTAGCACTTAAGTATATATGGCCTCATCAAATTGTCAATATACAAGGTACTCTCGATAGGTTTATGAAGAAAATAATAGTCTGCTGTTGTCATTACTTTGGGATATTAATGTTGAATATCACGAAAGATACTACAGAGTCAGAAAATTTATAAATAAATACGATATTCCATAATTCCCGACTCTATTCAATTTCTTTTTGATTTTACTGAGGGTATAGCACCTTACTGACTGAAATACGTATTTAGGTTTGTATTTGATAGGAAACTTGGATGTTGGATGTGATCTAGAGGCAGAGAACTTGATGACACCATACATATTGGGATTACTGGTTGCTTTGATCAGATCTGTGCATCACTATTAGTTTCTAAATATTGTAATCATCATCTTGACATTCCTCGATAGCACCTGTGTTTAGTCCAAGCTATAGTCAGACATAATAACATAATATTTTCAGGATAAATGACACTTATTGCTACCCAAATCTTTGAAAACTTTTCAAGTATATCCTACAGGGTGTTTCGAAATTGGAACCAAATTTTCTCATTGAAAAAAACTGAACACACATTTTTGTCAAAAATGAA